AAGCATAAAGCCCGTCCTGCAGTCATACCTTCCTCCCCTGTTAGCCTTAATGTGACCTGTGAATACCCGGAGGGGAAGCAGAGAAAACTGCCTCCATGCTGCACACATGACATTTTCATTTTTCCAGAGCCTTCAAGCCGCTCTGCACCCCGCCTCTGGAACTCCCTTCAACCTTACATCTGGAATATTGTACCGTAATATCTCCAATTTCAAATCACGTCTCAAAACATATCTCCTCACATGGGCATATCCACCCTGATCACTACTCAACACACATCCTCTGTTCTTATTGAGTATACACTGCATTGCATTAATTATCTTCTGATGTTTTGTATCTTGAAAGGCGACCATGAGAGCCTAGAAATGCGCCTATATAAAATACATTATTATCAGTATTATAATTACTAAAGCAAATGTATTCATTTAATTTCCATCAATGTCTTCATCAAAAAACGATGTCATAATACTTTACCACCTAAAATGATGACATGTTTATAAGGTTGGGCAACCAGAGTACTGGATCATTGGCATGGCATCACTGCCGCATAAACTGAGGAAGGACATTTCCTGATTTTGCAACCATCCACTCGCCCATATTTTGCCAGAAGTCTAACACACACATATTCATTTCTCAGCATGCTGCCAGAATACGCAAATGAAAGACATGCTGGCTCACAAAGTCAAATATTTCGACCCTGAGTCAGATCACAATTAGATGTACTGTAAGTTACAAAATGATGGTGTTACTTTCTTTTGAAGTGGTTAAGTGCGTAAGTGTGGCTACAATTTTAGGGAACTTTTTTCTATTTAGTTTTGTTTTTGTAGAGTATTTCATACTTCAACTCTACTTCAATTTAGCAGTAAATATTGTACCCTTTTCTTACTCCATAGACGGACTTTCCTCCTACTCAAGTACAAATGAGGTAACTTGCTTTCAAATGTAGATATAGGTCAGTTAAAATGTATAGGGGGAAGGTGTTTGTTTGTTGGAGAGAGGGTTGAGAAAAACACAATTTTAGATAATATATTAAATAAAAGAACATATTTAGGTTGCAAAAAACGCATTAACATATCACAGAGCTCCTTTGTCCAAACCAACAACAGCCTATTTATTAAAGGCATTTAGCAGCCTGTACATACAACTAATGATCAATGACACAACTATTACAATTATCCAGAAAAGAGACTAAACTCAGACCATTACACAAAAATGTCCGACAATGAAGTCAATGGACACCATGGAGGATGTAACAAGCATTGAGCCACATAACCTTACAATACAGCATATACAACGACACCAGAGCAGACAGAACAACAAATGAAACTCCACAGAAACTGATGCCACAAAACACACACATTAAAGCAAAAACAGATCCGCAATAATACATGTAATACTTTGTTGTTGTAGCCTACTCACCCGTCTGAACCACATCACACAATCTCCCTCAATCTGATCCAGGTGTAACTTCTCTGTTCATTCTCAAATAATATAACCAGAATAACATTTACGAGCAGCAGAAAGGCCTCAAACAAGTCCCTGGAGGTGAAGGTTTTCTCAGTGACAGCAGACAGCATCTTAGCATTTAGCATGTTAGCTAAACACAGCCTTCACCTGTTGGTCAGGTCACGCAAAAAACGTGGGTGCGTTCGATTTTGTATTTGTAATCTTTATTCTTAAAATATCAACAATAATAATAATAACCCTCAGTAATAGGTTTCCTCGCACTTCCTGCTAGGGACACCCAGCACTCTCGTGCTCGGGCCCTAATTATACAATATAGAAGTAACCATAAGCAATGGATATTTTAAAACGTAGACTTCAGCAAAAAGGACTTTTTGGGCTGGAAATATTCTGTATTTTTTACTCCAACACTATAGTTTATATTTATATCTACATTTTCATTATAGGCTAAATTGGGTACCTCCCTACAATACGCCAATACGCAGATCCAGATCCATACGTTACACATTAATAAAACTTGCTGCAAGCTAACCCTGCTTTACATTATTTTAAGTAGCCTAATGATACTTATTTGATATACCTAATATAATAAATGATTATATATATATATATTTGTATTAGCCATACTTCCTGTTGCATAAATGTACTTGTATGAGAGGGTATACAATTTTAAAATGTCTTTTCCGTAATGATAATACAAATATTTGTCAAAAGATTATAATCTTTTTTTTGTTTTAAATAGCATAATTAGGCTACATACTGTTGCCTATTTAGTAGCCTACTTTAACTTTTTGGTAGACTACTTTGAATACTTTTTGTGAGTAGTAATGCACTTTATTTTAGTACAATTTTTAATACAGTGCTATTGCTTCTAATAAAGAGATTTCAACAGTTTGGTCATTGCTGGTAGGCCTATGTACTTGTTGTAAAGATCTGAAAACTCCCTTCACTTCCTACGTGACTTTTTTCGTGAAACCAATTTGGCATTGCCATGATTTCTCACTGTGAGATTCACATAATTATGAATGAAGCATTACGTGTCTTCCATTCAATTGCATTTGGGAGTGGGTGGATCTCCCAGCAGTACAAAAAGCCTCGTCTCACGTTCACTCTCACTTGTCTGGAGTTTTACGCACCGACCTCAGAGCACTCCCTTTTTTATTCCACCAAAGCTCAGTTTGGATATTAAACCCAAAAAAACATGGCATTCTTGACAAGAAATGAAGTTTTCTCCTGTTTTGTTTTCTACGCCGTGCTTCTGGTGATAAAAATGTACATTCTAGCGATAATAACGGGACAAGTGAGGCTGCGTAAAAAGGTGAGTGGCTATGAATCAGAGGAAAGGATAACAAAAAGAGAAAGCAACATCATTTCCTCTCCGGGAAACTTTTTTCTGATGCAAAGTCTTATTTTTCTTCCCTAAAAGGCTTTTGCAAACCCCGAGGACGCGCTGAGGCACGGAGGGCTGCAGTTCCACCGAGAGGACCCGTATGTGGAGAGGTGCCGGAGGTAAGGAAGTTTAACACTCTCAAGACACGCTTTCAATTTGTACAAAAATAATTCTGCCAAAGCGATCCATCACTCGTTTGACTAGACTGATCACTTTTGCTGTAACAACCAGTGGTGGAGGAAGTATTCATACAACTTGATTGATTTATTGACTGATTTTATTAATGGGTATAGAAGACAAAAACGTCCTTCCAACATTTTACAAGTAAAGTAACAAAGTTAAAATAGCAATTTCCTACCACAGTGGTAAAATACTCAATTTGACGCAGGTTACTTTAAAAAGGTACATCAGTAAAATGTGAATAAAAGTACTCAACACAGGGATATCGTCTGCAAGTGTTATAGGCCTATTATATTTAAATACTATTGCTTTTAAGTAGAATTTCACCTATTTAAATACAATCAGTATATTATGTTTGGTAATGTCATCTTTAAGGCAACTATACATAACTGTCTTAACAAAAATCCAAATGTGTAAAGTAACATTAGTTCTCAAGAAAATATAGTGTGGTAAAAACGTACTAAATGTGTCAAATTGGTATAAAATGAAAAAAGTAGCCTACCACAAATGTTTATAGTACGTGAAGTACAATACTTGAGTATTTCACCATGGCATCGTGAGTAGTTTAATCAGTAATATGTTGTGTTAAAAAAGGTTTTGTGCTGACAGTTTTTATAAAGGCTTTTGGTTGTCTGTTCAAAATAATGAACTGCATGTTGATTTTCTTGTAAGAAAAGTAATTTTTCCAAACTTACATGCAACTCTGCAGTGACATCATGTGATTTTTTTCATTGGGCAGCCTGTAGGAGACACTCTCCTCTGCTTTGTTTTAACTTGTCAGGTAATGATCCCTGACAGACTGCACATGTGTTATAGTACAAACGTTCCCCTACCTTTCCCCCTGGATGTGTATCCTGGACCATTCATTTAACTGTGCATTCAAATCCTGAGCATATTGCTAAAAGATCTGGCTTGGTGTTTAGTTCATTTTAACGAGTTGTTGCAACATGCTCTTCTCAAAAAAATATGCAATAATTTTTGTATGTGCTGTTTCTGCAAGAGCTGTGAGCAGGGCATGTTTCCTAAAATAATATTATTTAAAAAGTAGATTCCAGAGGCCGGAGGGGAAGCAGGGAAGTGGTGATAAGCATTCTGACTGGAAGCCAAAAGCAAAAAAGTTGTATAGTCTGCTGATGTGTAATGCATGAAGTCACATTGAGCTATGATTTGTCAGGAAAAATGCAGAAAAAACATCAGTCACTGAAATACAGCAGGAGTACCAGGAGTACTCATCATCCCTTCACTGAGTCAGGACATTGCATGATATTGAAAACAGATGTATGTGTGTGTGATTAAATCTCCTTTCCTCCCCCTTTTAGAGCTCATATTAACGACTTAGAGAACATCCTCCCCTTCCTCTTCCTGGGTGCTATCTACTCCATGATCGGACCTTCACTTCCTGTGGCCCGCCTCCACTTCCTGGTCTTCTTCCTGGCTCGTGTGCTGCACAGCGTGGCCTACCTGTTCGCCCTGCGAGCCCCCACCCGCTCTCTGGCCTACATTGTGGCTCAGATACCTTGTGTCTCCATGGCTCTGCAGATCCTTGTTGCAGTCGCAGCATATGCATGAAAATCCAGAAAAGGAGGGATGAACTTGAGGAGTTTTCCTGGCAGGAGGGATTGGGATCTGAGACCTGTGTCAGATTAAAAAGCAAGAAGAGGAGCAGGATACCGGAGAGGCCTCCTGAGGGGAAGAGCATTAAAGACAAGAATGAGTGCAATAATAGGTGTGTGATTACACCACAGCTGGGTTTTTGTGAGATTTTATCAGTATTTTTAATGTTGAAATGTGAGAATTTCTTATTTGAAGTTGACATCTTGTACTGTACTATTTAAAAAAGAAATATGAAGGTCGTTTTTGTCTTTGTAACTAGATTTTGTTGTAACCCCCTGAAGCCACTTTGCAATATTCCTCCCTGCATCCATTCTGTGTTTACACACAACACGGACCACCATTCACGTAGTGCTGCACCCCCATGGCTTCAGCTGCTTCCTTTGTGGATACTCCATCTGTTGTGTTAACATTTTGTTTGTGTACTATGTTCAACAAAAGCTTACGCATGATGACTGAAGATGTGTTGAGAGATTTAAGACCACTTTCACTGTGTGAGTCAAACTGTCTCTCAAGTTACATCAATTTAAAGAAAGGAATCCTATCACTGAGTTTGGAATACATCTCACAACAACCTGCAGAGAACATATGAAATCATTCTATCTTTGAAAACACATTTCAAGGCTATTTTTAAAGTATTGTATTAGTAATTTATTATTCAATTTAATGTATACAGTTATGTTTTTTAACCACTATATGCATTCTTTTGGAGGCAATAAAACAATTAACACACGAAACCAAGATTACATGAGTGATATTTAAGTAATTTGATTGTCTTTTGAGGTGGTTCGGGCACCTAGTTAGGATGCCACCTGGGCGCCTCCCTAGGGAGGTGTTCCAGGCACGTCCAGCTGGGAAGAGACCAAGGGGTAGACCTAGGACCAGGTGGAGGGATTATATCTCTTCGCTGGCCTGGGAGCGCCTTGGGATCCCCCAGTCAGAGCTGGTTGATGTCGCCAGGGAAAAGAAAGTTTGGGGCTCTCTGCTGGAACTGCTACCCCCGCGACCCGACCACGGATAAGCGGGAGAAGATGGATGGATGGATGGATGGATGGATTGTCTTTTAGCAGAGAGATCCTCTGTGTTGTGTCTGCCTGGTTGTGCAGAGTCTGTATGTGATCTAGTGTCAAAGATATAGTTCATCACAGTGTCAAAAATTCATATTTTTCATCTTACGTGTTTGACTTTAATCAACTTTTGTTGTTTTGGTGTATTCTCGCTAATATAACCCAAAAAAGATTACATTAATGTACATTTCCAGAAATCATATGACCTGGTTAATCAAGATAATCCACAGACTTTATGTGCTTAGTTTCAGGAACTATTTGCTTCCTACTGAACTACACCCTCTGAATCACCGGGCAGAAGGATGTTCACTATGGCTAGTGTATTTCAATTGTAAAGAAAGTTTCCACATAAAACTTCTGACATATATTAAGGACTGAGGATTATCTTCAATAACTGTGCCATGATGTCTGGAAAGAGACATTGCTTTTACGTTTTAAAACATTTTTTTGTTCCACTTTGAATGCCATCAAGTTGGAGAAAAAAAGCAGTTAACGACAGTCAATATTGATAAATAACACAAATGGTAAGAGAATTCTTAATTTTGGGGTGAACTTTCCCTTCAAGGGGACTTGGCCCCACTTTGTGTGTGTGTATGTGTGTGTGTGTTGGTGTGTGACAGTGAGATGATCCAGCAAAGAAAGTTTCCACTTAAAACTTCTGACATAGGGTCTGAGAATGAGTGTAACTGTTTCATGATTTCTGGAAAGATACATCCCTTTAAACGGCCAACATCTCCAGGACTCTGCAACTCACGCCAAGACGAAAAATATGAATTTTATGATTTTGGGGTGAACTTTGCCGTTAAGGGGACTGGGCCCCACTTTGTGTGTGTGTTCGTGTGTGAGAGTGAGGTGATCCAGAAGTCCATGGCAAAGCTCCTGCATTCCTCCACCTATTATGTAAGACCTGTGGCTGTGTTCACTGTACAGAGGGGCCAGGGGGGGCTGACACACAGCAGAGCGCCATGTCAATGATTACAGCACGTGTGGTCTGCAGGCCAACCTGCCCAGATCATCTATTGCATCATTGGTGAAATGCTTTGTTGTTATTTGATCACGGCATATTTGGTTTGGTGATTCCTCAACCCAATGTGACTTATAATTGGCTCCAGGCAGTAATTCCAGTAATCCCGATGACTAAACTTGGAAATTATACGGCTGTAAGGGATCGTGGTTATGAAGTTTTTATTCCTAACAAAAGAAAAATAACAAACCCTGATAACGTGGGAGGACTGGAAAACCTAATCCTTTGGTTTTAACGAGTGAGCATACATATGATCTGTGTGAAACCTAAAGCTAATGACATGCCAAGGACACAGGGGTGTGACTATTTCCTGCATGAGTCAGCGGAGGGGTCGTCTCAACCTGTCTGTACCTTCAGGGTAAAAGGGCCCGCTTTCCTCTCTGTCATTCTTTTTTTCAGCCAAGTGAATAATCATCATGCTTGACTCACAAAATCAAAAACCACAATCTGAAATGTATTGAGTTACTGGAAATGTACAGCCACATACAAATGTTACTTTCTCTTTTTTTTCGCGATACATCAGGAGAAGGTTTTTGCAAAAACTATGTTTTCTTTGTGCCCCAGGCTGGTCCCTGTCTAGAGATCAGCTTGAATTTCCTGATGGTCTATTGTTCAGGAGGTGGAGGCTCGCCTACTTCCATAAAAAGAGAGCACAGTTAGTGGAAGAACTGCAACAAGTAAAACAAAAATCGAGGCTAAAAGGTTTTTCTGTGATTTTATCAGAGTACACTTACATCATTGTTTATCCAGGCCTTGTGGCTATGGTTTAATTCATATAAAAGCACTAAAAGTCAATACAAAGAGGTGAAAAAACAACTTTCCAATAGAGCAACAGCTGCATTTTCACAAAAATATTATTACTAGAAGAGAAAAAGCAATAGAATGCAATATAAAAAGGTGTGTACTGCTTGTCCAGTGTAGTTGCAAGTTGCAGATGTCCCGCTTTGCGCGGGACTGCACAGCATTTTCACGACTTTTGGTGCGTCCCGCAAATTGAGACGATGTCCCGCATATTACATTTTGCACACGGCGGGTGCTGGTCAAGTGTTAACCAATGAGAGTAACTCACTCATTTATTAATTTATGTTGTGCCTACTTGTACAGACTACACTAGTTGAATTAAGAAGATGCATTTCTAAACACTTGAAGTGAATAATGCCTGCTGCCTTGGTTAGCCTTAGTTTACTTTTCTTTATTAAGATACTAAATTGTTACTGCATTTTGACTTCACTTTTTGCTCTGCTGTTATATATTTTGTTAAGTTTTTTTTTTCCGGGGGGGGGGGGGGGGGGGCTGTTGAGAGGGTGTCCCACATTGTCCCACACAACAATACTCCTTGTCCCACATTTGGTTTGTTGGGATCTGGTCAACCTAACTTACCTCCATCTCGAAAGTCATGGAAAAATAGTATATGAACAGGTCGAAAAGTACCTCGCGGAAAAGAAACTAATCTATGAATTTCAATCTGGCTTTAGAACATCCCACTCCACTGACACATGCCTTCTTTATTTGAGCGACCACATCAAACAAGAGGTGGACGAGGGCAAGTACTGCGGCATGGTGATGCTGGACCTACAAAAGGCTTTCGACACTGTCAATCACCCCATTCTGATTGACAAGCTAAAAGCAATTGGTTTTGATAAACTATCGGTGAGCTGGATGCAATCCTACCTGGAGGGAGAGAACAGATGGTGGAGGTAAACGGTACTCTGTCCCCCCCCCTCCCAGTGAGCTGTGGTGTTCCACAAGGAAGCATATTAGGTCCGTTACTGTTCCTAATTTATGCAAATGACATGTCATCAGCATGTGACTGCAACTTGTTCCTGTTCGCGGACGACTCAGCCCTGCTGGTCTCTGACAGGAGCAGATTGCAGGTTGAAAAAACCCTCAGCTCCGAGCTCGGCAGAATCTGCACCTGGCTCGCCGATAATAAATTATCATTACACCTGGGTAAAACAGAGTCCATTCTCTTCGGTTCGAAACATAATCTCAGCAAATCCGACGACTTCTCAGTTGCAGTGGGTGACATTATTGTCACAAGTAAGAAGGAAATTACATACCTAGGATCTATTCTTGAGGCAAACCTCTCCTGTGACAAAATGGCATCCAATGTAATAAAAAAAGTCAATCAAAGAACTAGATTCCTATACCGGATCTCCTCTCTGGTAAACAAAAACACCCTGAAAACTCTGACAGGAGCACTCATTCAAGGGTACTATGACTATGCTTGCACGTCATGGTACCATAGCACCTCCAAGGCGCTAAAAATAAAAATTCAAAGATCGCAAAATAAACTGGTCAGACTACTGCTTGACCTTTCATCTAGAACCCACCTCACCTCTGCCCACTTTGACAACCTAGGATGGCTTAGAGTAGACGACAGAGTACAGCTACTTGCAATGGGCCTGGTCTACAAGATCCACTACACCTCTATGGTACCCATGTACATGTCAAAATTCTTCCCAAAGGTCAAGGAATACCATGATCATAACACCAGAGGAAGCTCCACAAATCATGTGAAACCCAGATTTGGCACAAAAAAGGGGGAATACACGTTTCGCAATTATGCCACATCAAGGTGGAACGCTCTTCCCACAACTGTAAAGGAAAGTAAAACTATACTTACCTTCAAAACCTCTCTTAAAGAGCACCTTCGGGGGAGAGCATTGCAAAACTGGCCCCGGTAATGGTACAAATCTCAACCTGTCATACAATGGACAGCTTCCCCCCCCCCCCCCCATCTATGTATATACTCGCATTTTAGACTCTGTTACTAACTGTATATCTGTAGACTTGGTATGTCTTAAATGTCCGGTTAGGATGTATTAGAATGAAATCTAAAATGAAAATTGTAAATAAGCAATCTGTATGTAAAAAACCACCTGTATGTAAATTGTAAATAAGCCATCTGTATGTCAAATATGTTTTATATGTCTTAAATGATATGATGAATTGGAAATGGGGGACCCTGATGTAAACAAGACGAAAGTCTTTCTCTGGTCTGCATCCCCTTAACAATTGTATGTTTTGAGCTGTACTGTACCCAATATACAAGCTGTTAATAAACTTTTAAATCAATCAATCAAAACGGTTGGGACATATTTCGCTGTCGGGTGTTGACCAATCACGAAGCGTCATTTCTTGACTGGCAGCAAAAACAACCAATCACAGGAGTGCTTCTCTGGCTGGCTAGGTCCAATCACAAACAAGAAGTGTTCTCCCTAAAGGAATACCCTTTCCCTCCAATGTGAAATGCTGTGGTGTTTTCTGAAATGCTGTTGTGTTTTCTGAAATGCTGTGGCGTTTTGTGAAATGCTGTGGCGTTTTGTGAAATGCTGTGGTGTTTTGTGAAATGCTGTGGTGTTTGTGAAATGCTGTGGCGTTTTGTGAAATGCTGTGGTGTTTTGTGAAATGCTGTGGCGTTTTGTGAAATGCTGTGGTGTTTTCTGAAATGCTGTGACGTTTTGTGAAATGCTGTGGTGTTTTGTGAAATGCTGTGGTGTTTTGTGAAATGCTGTGGCGTTTTGTGAAATGCTGTGGCGTTTTGTGAAATGCTGTGGTGTTTTGTGAAATGCTGTGGCGTTTTGTGAAATGCTGTGGCGTTTTGTGAAATGCTGTGGCGTTTTGTGAAATGCTGTGGTGTTTGTGAAATGCTGTGGCGTTTTGTGAAATGCTGTGGTGTTTTGTGAAATGCTGTGGTGTTTTGTGAAATGCTGTGGTGTTTTCTTTTTCTCTTTTTTATACAAACATTGTTATTAATAATAAGCTGTTTTATTTATTTATTGAAAAGTCTTGATTTAATTGAATAAAAAAATAGGTGTTTCTCACCTGTCCAGTGTGTGTTGCATTGATGTGGAGTCACTGGGTCACATGACATGGACGATTAAAAAACAAAAACAAGACTTTCAATAAAAAAACAGCACCATTTTCATAAAGATGCTCAAATTCAAAAGAAAAGAGCCGAGTTGTGTCCTACTTGTCTATACTATGATGCTTCACTGATTTGGAGTCATTAGGTCATGCACATAGCTTGGAAGCAGTTGAAAATAAATGAGACTTTTTAATAAAGGAACAGCTGAATATTCATCCATCCATCCATCCATCTTCTCCCGCTTATCCGTGGTCGGGTCGCGGGGGTAGCAGTTCCAGCAGAGAGCCCCAAACTTTCTTTTCCCTGGCGACATCAACCAGCTCTGACTGGGGGATCCCAAGGCGCTCCCAGGCCAGCGAAGAGATATAATCCCTCCACCTGGTCCTAGGTCTACCCCTTGGTCTCTTCCCAGCTGGACGTGCCTGGAACACCTCCCTAGGGAGGCGCCCAGGTGGCATCCTAACTAGGTGCCCGAACCACCTCAACTGGCTCCTTTCGACGCGAAGGAGGAGCGGCTCAACTCCGAGTCCCTCCCTGATGACCGAACTTCTCACCTTATCCCTAAGGGAGACACCAGCCACCCTGCGGAGAAAACCCATCTCGGCCGCTTGTATTCATAACAATATTCATAATAAAATGTACAAAATTGGCGTATCATGAGGGCAGTAATATAATGCTGCCTTGATTAGGAATACATAACAAATGATAATTTGTTTTTTGTATAGTGCTTTTCCTGGTGCTCAAATAAGCTAGTAACTTAATTAATTGATGTCACATGAATGAGATTAGAAAGAGTTTGGACTTTTGGAAAAAATTCAATAAAAATAAGTTTGTCCAATGGAGGCACTGGATCATGACATAACAAGGACTTGTTTTATATTATTCTTGAAAATCCTGCAGCAGAATTTAAAACAAGCTGCAAACAGGAGTTACAGTTCATACAAGTTGCATTAAAGTAGCCATGACAGGATATAACCTTACAATTGCATGAATGACTGTTTCCATTTCAGCAGATACAAGCTTATCTGAACTACTGATTTTGTGTTTGTCTGAACTAAGATTGCAATCACACAACAATGGCTTCGATGCTTGTTGTCTGTTTGTTTTCCATCACATGGCTCCCTCTCAAACAGTGTATCAAACACCTCTTCAGACACCTCACTGTCTGTCTTACCATTTGTTCCAAACATCTGCCTGTGTCAGCTGCTCTGCAGGAAACAGGGAAGATTATTCCTCAATTAATTAACAACTCTGTTGGACGTCTCACTGTCTCCAAGTCTCCTGAGAAACATATGAGATGTGAGATAGTATTTGTTTGCACAATAAAACAAAGCAGTAGAAACACAACAGAAAAAGACACAAGTTGTGCAGATGAGAATAAAAAAGCATTAGGAATAGCAATGGCTATATATTCAACAAAAGTAAACAAAAAAAGCAAAGTAGCCTACAACATGCAAAAAAATACAATTATTTTGAGTGTTTGCATACGTGTGTGCAGTTTGCTTATGAGTGTACAATATAACATTTGTTAAAATATGAGAACAACTACAAACGCTAACAAATAATACCCAAACAGATCAAATTTCATAAATATTTATTACATATCAATGAACAGAATCGACTACTTTCACAGCAGTGGTCTACAGCACTTGTTTAAAATAATTGCTCAAATAATAATCATAATAATAATATAGTTGTTTCATTTGAGGCCACATTTGATACACAAACATTTACAAGTAGTACTTGGCATTAAAAACGATGGCGATACAATATTTTAAGACACTTGGTGTTTTTTTTGTTAATTTTTCTTTCGTTTTGATATCACAGAGAGGTTTAGCAACAGTCTAAACAGTAAATATATAGATTCAAATACAAATAAAACTAAACAAAAAACTGTGAAAATGCCAAGGGGAGGTAGGAACAAAGAGTACTCGACAGAAATACAGGAGAAACATCGTAAAGTGGGAGAAGCAGTGTGACAAACAAACTGCCAGGCATCCCACACTCAGAGTAATAAACACTAAAGTACCTTTTTATAAAACAATCCCCCCGTTCTTCTTCTTCTTCCCTTTTGAGTTTTTCTGAGTTATGTTATAGTGTTGCAGGGTTCACACTGAGACTAGCAGGAGAAAGGAGGAGAGGCGTGAGGAGACTCATGCAAGATCTGAAGGCTGCTGTGAGAGAAACCACCACAGAGGGGCGCTGTCATTCCCATCAGCAGAACCACTGCTCCCAGTCTGATGCCTCGCCCACCAGTGGATGTTTAAAGACTTCTCTTCTGGTTTTACAGACTGTCTAGTGTCCATCACTTAGACATTTCCCCCTATTTTATGTTAAATTCAGCGTTGTGACAAGACGTATGTAAATATCTGAAGTGCAAAGGAAAAGCAAATTTGTACTAGAGAATAAAAGTGCAATGAAAGGCTTCAAAATAAGTATTTTAATAATAATAATACATTACATTTATAAAGCGCTTTTCCTGGTGCTCAAAGCACTTGAAATGAAAATGAGTACTTAAAACGTAACAGGGCCCAATTATGTTTATTTTCAGGTTCATATTTGTATTTTGTGCCTCTACTGTGACATGTCTGTCTCCATGCTTTAATGTTCAAAAAGCTCTTTATTTTTCTCATACTGCCTGTGCTGCAGCACCTCTTTTCACCCTCTGTCTGAAACCAGAGCCCAGTCTGCTCTGATTGGTTAGTTTGCCGGCTCTGTTGTGATTGGAGATGTCCGCACCTAGGGAGCCTATCACGGGGAGATACTCCCTCTCGAGGGGTCTTTGGGATTTTAGCCTTTGCAGACCATTTACATGGACAAAAACTTAATCACCATACTACAGGAAAGAGAACACCCCCCCAAAAAGCACAATAGGGCCGCTGTAAGTGTATGAAGAATAGTTTATGTCTGAGTGTGTGCATTATTGTCATCACTTAAACCCTTGCACTGCCTTAATTAAAGCCTTATATAGGGACTGCAGTTCGAAGTTTGCTATTAACTAAAGTAGTTGTATTGTTTTTTTCTGTGTTTGAACTTTAGATTTGTATTTCAAATGTGTAGTTTTGTCTACAATTCCTTTTACAGACACAGGACAGTCTAGTAAAACATCCACACTTTTTCTCTCATCTCAGCTTGTGGTTTGCTTTATGCTGCTCTGTTATGATATCACAGACCTTGTGGCTTCCAAAGAAGATTTTTTTTTGGTGCAGGAGTCTTAATACATGTAGCAAAGGCAGGTCATGCAGAAGTAAGGACGTCTCACTCTGTGTGGCTTTAAAAGAGTGCCTCCTGTAGGTGAATTCAAACTGAATGGAGATGTGGGACACCATAGTAATCATATAGGACTACAATCATGGCTGCTACTCTCAAGACACCAGATTTTGGTGGCAGATAAGAGGTGTACTTCAGTGGAGGATGCTGGGAAATGGCACTTGTAGGAGAATTTGCCTCCAGCCCTGTCTACCTGTATACTGTGAATAAGGAGAAGAATAAGGACTAATATGTGCAGAGAGCATAACACATCCTACTTTTACTAAATATGGGAATAAAATGATTTTTTCTATAATATCTATAAATATGCATCACAGGCATGACAGGCATGACAGGCATACATGCCCGTCACTGTGTATGCACTCCATGTATAAACAGATGTACACATACATATATGCATATCATACAACAGTTGTAAAGGAAATATCACATAATATACAACACATATGAAGCTCTAGCAACTTCAGAGGGCTCTGTGAGATTTACGTCGTGCCTCGGTGCGCAGATTTACATTCAGTGTGTGGTTTGTGATCAAACCTTTAACATTACCTCAAGGCTGTTGCAGAGCTCTGAATAAACTGCGGCAGCTCACACAGCCTCAACGCCTCTTTGGGTTATTTGCTGTGGGGGGGCCACACAAACACCCGAAACACACAGCGGCTGAAAGACTTGCTCGCGGAAACAAACAAACACATCCTCACCCCCCCGCTGCACCCATCTTGTCTGACGAATGGGGAGACCCAAGATACAAGGATATAATCAACAACAAAAAAATAATTCAACAAAAGCAAACCAACCAAAACATGAAATAAAGGTGACAGTATGGGAGTGGGGGGGGGCAGAGAAGTGCACGGTGGGATTGTCTTCATTTTAGGTCCAGGACGTCTTCTTCGAAGGATGTGGAGAGGGCGAAGGCGCTGGCGAGAGGCGGGCTCTCCGTCAGCAGCACCACCTTCTCCGGCTCCACCTCCGGAGCGGACGTACAGTGCAGCTGCACGTCCAGCTCCGCATCTCCAGACTCTGAGGCTAACCTGGGGGGCATAGAATTATTATTTAAAATGTACATTAAAGTACCCTATTATACTCTTTTTCATCAATATATTATAGTTCTCAGATATATACAAAACTTGTCTCATTGCGGCATCCCATAATCCCCTCTGTTTCAGCCCTGTTTCAAAAGTGCTGATTCTCTGTCTGTTACTTTAGATGAAAATAAGGAGCCACTCCCCACACCCCTCTGTGATGTGATTGGTTAAAAATAACACAATGGTGCTAGGAGGAGATTCAGGTTATAAGGGGGGGGGGGGTTACCTTGGTTGGTTATTGGCTAATGGTTACACAAGCCAAAAAAACATGACATCACAAACTCTGATCAGCTAATTTTCTTATGAGCTAATAAACAAAATGTTTAGGCTACAAAATGAAGAGCATTAACATGAACAGTGTTTTCCACCACACCTGTCACTGTTTGTTGACGTCAGTGCTCGTGCTTTGGGCTCTTCCTCCGTGTTCTTCTTGCTCATCTTCCTCTGTTTGACCGTCCCACTGTCTGACTTCCCACTCGGTTCCTCTGTCAAGCCTTCGTTAGTGTGAGGTAACAGGAAATATGTTAAATCTATAGAATAGTAAAACGTTTCTGGGGAATATGTTCATTTGACCAGTCAAAACAGTTAGCCTGGCTTTTTCCTAGGGTAGCAATACCCCCCCTACTAACAATGCTAAAACTCTATAACTATCATTATCATACATTGAAGACAAAAGAAGATACAAATCTATTTAAAACAGTTTTATAATGTATTAACATTGAGCAAAAGAGCTACATGTGAGAAAAAGTTTATTTAATTTAAATGAATGTCTGTATTTATGTATAATTTGCCAATACTTAGAAGGAAAGGGGTAATGTGTATGTGTATGTGAGCAATAACGTGTAGATTGGAGTGCACTGTAAACTGAGGCGGGTGTGATTTGTATGTACATCTCCATGTATGTTATCATTTTGTGGAATAAAAAAAAGTAAAAAAAAGAAAAAAGAAGTGAATAAACAGAAACAGATGCTATTTGTCATTACCATTAACATGTGGTTTGTTAAACTTTCAAACTAAAAAGGAATAAAGAAGCATACAAATCTTTTTTTATATCCAGTTTTTTCAGAAAAATAACAGGTCTAATGATGAGCATTAGAGTTGTTGCTACCTTTAGATAGAGCCAGGCTAGCTGTTTCCCTCAGCTTCCAGTCTTTATGCTAAGCTAGCTAACAGGTGCTGTGGTTCCCAATATGCAAAACTACTGCTTTAACACCAGGATTAATGTATTGACATTAGAGAAAATAAATAAAACTAAGTGTGTTATTTAATCTTTACCGAGCAGCTCCTTCCGTGTGCGGCTGGCGATCTCCTTGATCTCCATGCGGGACAGGGAGAGGGAGTGTGTGGCGGAGATGAGGGCAGTGGGGGGAAGCATGGTGGGGGCCGGCGTGGTCAGCACCTTGTTGACCAGAGGGGACTTCAGGGGCCTTTCAATGCTCCGGCCCACGAGGTTACACAGAGGGATCTTGAACATGTGCTTACATGCTGATTCACCTGCAGGGCGGGAGACCAGAGGGAGAGAAGAAGGGAGGAAGAGGAGAGAGCAGCGGGGAGAGTCAGGTGACAAGATATGAACAAGGAATAAAAAGAGCAAAGATGGGAATAGTATCGGGGAAAAGACACATATAAAAGGTGAGACGTGTGTAGCAGTTAATGAGAAATGTATGAAACTCTGCGCTTCAAGCACATAAGTGTTTTTACATGATTTAGCTTATTAGCGACATGATTGCATTTCTATTAAAAGCACATCTTCACAGACTTTTTACACTTTCAATTTTGAGAAATTATGTTGCCCTTGAAGTTTTGGGAAACATCTTTATTTATGTATTGCAAAGCGTTACATGAAGTCTGTCCGGTAACGAGGATCATTCTGACTTATGTCCATGCACTGGGTTTACCAGTCCGATTATAATAAAGCTATTATCCTATAAATCATATTAGGATTTAGAATAAAAAGTCAAAAAAGATTTGAAAATACAATACTTTTTGGGATTAAATCAGTAGGATGGCAAATTGATATAAAAACTCAAATAAAAAAGGAATAGCATGCCTATACATATACTGTCATTGTACTTACTCTTTGCCGAAATTACACAAAATTGAGATTAGAGACTATTTCTTATAATTGTTTGACATTTTCGTAAATATTTCCTTTTTTATTCCTTGCAGAGAGCTAAATAAGAAAATGGATAACACTCTTGCACGTGTAAAATAGGTGCCATTGACTCTAGTCAATGCATTAGGTATTTACCTTTAATAGAAACATTGGCTTACATCTTTTGAATAAAACGCTAATAAATAAGAGAAACAAACTGGGGCTAGATGTTTCCCTTGCTGATAAACTAATTACCCTTTACATGTATCTTGATATTTACCAGACAGACATGATATCAACCTCCTCATGTAATCCTTGGCAATTATATTTCCAAAATGTCAAACTATTCCTTTGAAACCCTCTTGGTGGTGCATTCAAGGACCCTTCAACATTACTCTCATGTGCTCACTTCACAAACACAAAGCAAACGTCCTGCAGATGTTGTTGAAATCATAACATGAACTGGTTATTTCATGTATTTCAAATAAAGTCCTTGAATGCACCAATAAACAAGGTCCAGAGTGTTGAACGTGAAGGATAACTGATGTCGAGCAAGTTTCTAGTGGATTTTCATAGCACAGTAAAAAATAATCGTAAATAATGTCTCGCTAGGATGGTAGAAATCAATCAAAATTATTTGCAAAAGGACCTTTTTTGTGACTGAGACTAGGTTGATGAGCTGATAAAATAAAACTAACCCTCCATATTCACACGAAGACACTCTGAAGTGATTAATAGTCCTATTTACCGAAACAGCATGTGATCTTAAAATTAATCACCTTTTCTACAGAGAGCTAACTGTTCAGTTGTAGCCATTTATAGCAGGCCATCTATTATTCAGTGAGGATATTAAATGCTTAAAAGTCAGTTTGGGACACATTAAATGTAGTTTTTCATGATCTGCAGCAGTGTGCAAATGTGCAGTGAACAAATCGTGCCACATGAGAGCAGTATTGCAATTGAGCAGCCAAACTCTGCTTCTTTTGAGGCAGGCTGATAGAAACATGGATGAATTGATGTGGAGGCTACAGCGCCGCACAAAGAGGACTGTCTCTTCTGAAATGTCAGCGGGTGAGAGGTGAGTGAACAGCCATGGAGGAAAACAGAGGGTCACAGCTGATGTTTGACAGGAAAACTGTGTTCCTGTTGTTACAGATCCTCTCTCCTGCACCCGCGCTGTCACACAGTGGAAATGGCAATAATGTGAAGGGGGAAAAGCATGCAGTTATTTTGGAATATACAAATCACTCAGATCAATATATTCCACATGCGCTTCTGGACCGGGGGAAGTGTCACTCTGCATGGAATTAAATGTAAATATTGGGGGTGTTTTTTGCACTAATTGGAGTCGAATTCTTCCCCTGCAGAGGGGGGTTTTGCTGCAGGCGTTTGGTAGCAGCCACATCAGTACCAGCATCTTGTTCACATTACTGATGCGATTACATCAGATGAAACCCTCCCCAAGGAGCAGATACGGCAGGCAGTTAGAGGATGGGATTTTTGTCAGCACCCCTTCTACCTCTCCCCCCTCCATCCCTCCCTCACCCCCAGATTGTGGCACCGCTGTTTGGACTTTGGATCGAAGAGTGGGCTGACAAAAGTCTCCATAGCGACAGTGCAATCTGTAAATCATGCTGCGGCAGACGTGTCTTCTCCTTCCCTCTTCTCTCCCTCCTTCTTCTCTCCCAAGCTTGTACACAACCCCTCCCTTTCTCTCTCTCATGCATACCTTCTCTGCATCCCCCCCAACCTCTCCTCCCTCCTGTAATTAAAAAAACCCTCCTCCCTTGATCGACGTTATCTCCTCTGCCTCACTTTTTCACTTTGCACTCCATCACCTCCCTCTAACTCTACCCCTCGCTGTAATTCTTTAATTAGTTAAGACAGAAAGGAGGTGGGGGGAGGGGATGGGGAAGACATAATGTTCACTTAACATTCGACCAACGTGCAAGTCAACATGCCGCCGAGGAGCAGACAGGGTGGTGCACTCTGGGAGCTTTTGCATGTGAGTGGGGTTAGCGTTATGAGCGTTATTTTCATGAGCATGTGGGGAAAAATCCTGCAGTACCTTCAGCATCCTTAGACATGTACAGGGAAAGCTTGGTACCATAGGGGATCCGAATAGAATCTGAACCAGGGATGAAGAAGAGGGTTACACAAACTGAACACACACACACACACACACACACACACACACACACACACACACACACACACACACACACACACACACACACACACACACACACACACACACACACACACACACACACACACACACACACACACACACACACACACACACACACACACACACACACACACACACACACACACAGTTTGTCATATGTTGTCCTATATTCATTGTACTATGTTTTTTTTAATATCTATATATTTATATATGGTGTAATTGTCTTTATTTTGATTTTTTATGCCAAATATTTTTATTTTTTAAATATATAACATTGTTATATTTTGTACCTTCTCCAACAACTTATTTTCTTCTATGTTGTTTATGTTGGCACCATAATACACCACAGCAAATTCCATGTACGTTCAAACGTACCTTGTAATAAACTTAATTCTGATTCTGATAACATGCAAATAATCCCTTGGAGAGAAATGATAACCCGAACCAGCCTAAAAGCATAAAGCCCGTCCTGCGCTAATTACAGCAGCGACAGTCATACCTTCCTCCCTGTTAGCCTTAATGTGACCTGTGAATACCCGGAGGGAAGCAGAGAAAACTGCCTCCATGCTGCACACATGACATTTTCATTTTTCTCCTCAATCCTCGTCCTTCCCTACAGAATAACATGCATGTATCTGGGGACGACTTTGTGTCCCTTTTAAAATCTACAAAGTGAGGTCGCCATGATCCATCAGTCTGAATGACAAACCTCCAGGCCCTTAACGACAGCCGTGCATCGTAAATATGCCCCAATTTTCAGACAGTAGTGTCAGACTGAGGGGGAGGTCAGCTGCAGGGGGAGGGGAATGGTCAAATACAGAATAAAAGATGGAGGAGCGAGGGAAAGTGGGCTAGAGGGAGGGGCTCATATTGATCCTCCATCATCCGTGAAAGCATTCTCTTCCTGGGAGGACACTTACTGTGTGTACACGTGATGGTGGAGGGTGATTGGTCTGTTCCTCCTTGTGTTATTTGTGGTTTGTAAGACTGGAAAGGATCATAGCGATGCTTTTTAGACCTTTAACTATATTATAATTAAATAACAGCCAACCATTTTCCATATTTATAGATTGGATTATTGTGCTGCAACCGCAAGTCTCCATTTATTTAACTAATGAGGAAAATCAATTTGCAAGAGCGTGAATAGACATTGATGTTTGTCATGTTTTATATGGATGATTGTTTTAAAAATCTGTTTTCATTGATGTGCCAAAATGTGATAGTTGGCATACTTTAAAGAATAAGTGAGAGTGATATTCCATATTTTTTCCTATTATCAACAAATCCCATGACAATGGTTCCCTGTGTAACCAAAGTCTGGAATAATGTATTCCTCTGAGCCATAGATCTCCATTGTTATCCAAAACCATTATAAATGATCCAAGCTTGCAACGAGAAAGGCAGACGTGACAGTTAAACAAAGGCACTTCATTTTTCACTGTTATTAACTGTCTTTTTTGCATACAAGCTCTAAAAACAGTGTTTCAAATCAGCTCAAAATGCAGAGGATTTTTCACCTTGTATTTTCCTATCTGCTTTTCCCACTGAATGTTTTTTTATATTTATTATTTAAATATACAAAATTAAAGGGAAACAAATGGCTGCATAGCTGGGGACTAATCACAAATATTAATACAATGGTCAGCCTTAATGTCAAGTTAACAGGATTTGAAGATAATAGGCTAAAATACTGAAAACCATCAGAAATGCTAGTAAGTTACAGTAGAAAATAGAAGCTAAATACTGTCTGAAGATCTTTTCCAGTAGCGCCAACTATGAGGGCATTTTGTCATAAACTATATTATGTCATGAGTGAGAAAGGATGAGGTAATAATGAAAGGGGAGATTTATGCAATTAATTATCTTGCCCTAGAAACCCACACACGATTCCACTGTGGGAACCTCTAGCTGCAGCTTATGTAAATGAAACTCCAGCTTTAGGCTAACTTGGCAGCATCCAAAGTCACACAGCTCTGCAGAAAATACTGACAATTGAAAACCTTTAATAACGAAGCTTTTACTATCAACCTCCCGTGGTGCTTTCACTAAGCGTCGGGGCTTACCATCGCCGAGCGGGGAAGGGAACACGGGCATCTCGTAGCCCGTGGGCGTTTGTGGGGAACTCTGGGAACTGGTGTCTCTCGAACTGCAGTTTGAAGCTGAGCTCACCGGAGCCGACGAAACAAAATAGATGTCCGACTGTGGGCGGGAAACAGAAGAGAGGAAATATAGGTCAATATAAAGACATGTAAAGAGAAAACATGGACCTAAAGGATGGTTAGAAGGTGAAACATGGAAAGAAAAAACAACGGAATTATGATAAGTAAGGTAGTGCACTATGATAAGTAGATTGGTATATAAAAGAGTATTCTCATTTATTCTGAATATTTTATAGATTATAGTTTATACAGTACAGTATATTATTCTAAATATTTTTATTTTTGTGTGTTGATCTGAATTTTATTTGTATTTTAAAGTAATTTTGTAAATCTTGTAGATTGAATGTCTGTCTGTCTGTCTATCTATCTATCCATTTATTTATTTATGTATCTATCCATCTATAAGTAAAGGACATGGTGTTTGTGGTATGCCATGTGCACTGTGATGTTTTTCAAATGTTCCATGTGTATGAATGATGAGTGCATTATGGAGTTGTAACCATGCAGATTGCCAGCCGTATTTCCCACCAGGGTAATAAAGATTGATTGAAATGAGGGAGCTGAAACAGCAGTAATGCAGAGAGGCCTCAGAACCCTCACGAGATAAAAGAGCTTTAGCTATAGTGCAGTGTTTCTCAAAATGTTTCATACCAAGGACCACTTCACCAATAAAAACACACTCGCGGACCACCTAACTCCACAAATATCCCAAAACACATCGTTTTTCTAGAACAGATTACAAATCTCGTGAAAATGATACAAACAAGTGGCAACATGTGTGACGAAGGTGCTGCGCTGGGCTATATCATGCAATCGAAAATGAAACTTAACCTCACTCCATTGGGTGAGATATTTCCGCGAGAGTGCGGAAAACTTAAATTAATTAATTAATTTCAAATGTGAAATGTTACCAATATACTCACGGACCACTAGGGGGCGATCACGGACCACCAGTGGTCCGCGGACCACACTTTGAGAAGCACTGTCTAGTGTCAAGTAGGTACACATAATGCACTTTCTAATTAACAACATTTTGAATAGTTTAGGACCTAATTACACAATATTAATAATTATTCATTATGTGTTGACCAAGACTGCCTTTTATCAGTTGCACAATAAAGCAAAGGTAATCACTACTGATCCAGCGACATGCAGTAAAGTTAAAATATGCTTTTGTTTGTACTTTTTACTAATCTTACGTACTAGCAAACTAAAACCATTTCCCATTGAAAAAAGACTATTCAAAAAGCTGCTACGAGGATTTTAACGAAAAACTAAAATAAGATATCTTATAGCTTTTGTTTTACACAATCTACACTGGTTCTCCATATCTTTTAGAAGTGATTTAAAGCTTTTCTCTTATGTTTAAAAGGCATTTGATGGCTTGTCCCCTTTAAACTCCTTATTGTTTTATGATCTTTGACCAAAACCTCAACAGCTGCTCTTTTAACTTTACTCATACTTTGATATTCTATGCATGCAAGGTGCTATATAAATAAAGATAGTTCATTCATAAAACAATAAAATAACAATTTTACATCAGTTCCGTGCAAATTGTTATCAAACAGACATGATATCGTGTTAGCTGTTGATGGTACTGACCCGTGAAGAGGCCAGCTGTAGCTCAGGGACCACCGCGGTGTAAACCAGGTTTCCATTCACCACCAGCCGGATCTCAATGGAGTCCGTTGTGAAGGCCAGGATGTAAGGGAACGCACAGACTGCAAAGAATATATGAGCATATTACTAAACAAGGGAGAGGAAATGGGCTCAACTGCCCAACTTTAAGCATACCATCCTGGGTGAAACCATTCACCATAAAATGTCATCATTAGCCGAGGACAGATGCATGAGGATGGAAGTCTTCAATTCTTTATTTCTGACTAAAAAACAACATTTACTTTTTCTGCACTTAAATTACTTTGAACAATTAATCAATCATCATTTTACACTTATTTATCAAAACTGCTGTTTGAAACTGAGGCTCTCCAATTGTGTCTGTATCTGTGAGAAAAAATGAAGACAGCAGCTTGTTGTTATGAACTGGGTCAGCTTTACAGATTTAGAACCAATTGTATTTGCTTGTTATCGCCCTCTGCATTCATAAAAACATGACACAAACATAGACACACAGACACAGAAACACACACAGTGTTTCCATGGCGACAGCAAGCCCAGGTCAGAAGCATGGACTGGGTGCGGCCTGGGCTCTGTTGCCGTGGTAACCTACCGATCGCATTGGGCATCTGGTTCCAGCTGAAGTGGAAATCAGAGGCGTTGGACTGGATCATCGGCGTGGAGCCGTTAAACGGACACACTTTCTTATAGGAGCAAATATCTGCAAGAGACACAGGAAACAACTTCAAACTTCAAAATATACTTTCTTACGTCAATTGTTCCTTTTTTGTCAACGTTTTATAGAGCTTTACATCTCAAGTAGGTGTTTGTAGATGCGTTTTAAAACCAATCACTGAATTGAGCTAGGTCCGAGGGGGATACCTTTAAATGTCTTTTTTTTCAGAAACGCAAAGATATTCATTTTATAGTGATGCCAGCTCTAGAGTCCTATTATTGAGGATGCTGAGTCAATTTCTGACATTTCAAGATAATAAATGGCAGTTTTAACCAGAAACAGCAAATATTTGTACTCTGAAGGCTGATTTTGATGAGTTTTGGGACGATTTTAAAGATTTAATTTAGATTGGACAAATTGCCTATTTATTTGAAATATAATTGTCCACAGTAGAGCCAATCATTGTTAATGTTGTGCTCTCTATATACAATGGTGGCAACACTATATAGGTAGTCCAAATCAGCCCACCGAGAACAAATATGCCCACTTTTTAAACTGCAATTTTTTTTATCCTGAAAATGTCAGAAATTGATTCGGCATCCTCTATAACACCAACACCACTCCAAAACTGTACAAATCGGCCAATCTATCTTTTTACTATTGTTTACATAGTCTATAATGCCATTCATTTAGCAACTTATGCTAATTGTGCAAATTGTCCAACATATGCAAGTTAGCACCCGGCAGTTTGTATGTGCTGGGGACCCGTACTATAACTTATGTGTACTCAACATTTCAGGGTTCACTAAGCTGGCAACTAGACTCTAGACTAGATTAATATGATATACAATAGAAAAAAGGATGAAATGTTTATATTTGCGAGGTGAAAATCACCATTTACTATCTATCATTTTTTGCATTAAAATGACTTAAATAATAATGAATTATACAAACTCATCCTTCCAGCAGCAGAGTTAAAGAGGGACTCACAGTTGTAACACAGCAGCAGGCCTGCCTCTCCGTCTTCATACACATCGATGGCTGCTACAAAATTTACCTGCAGGCAGAGACAGTTTAGTGCATTTATTTCAAAGGTCAGGCGTTGGAGACAAATCATGCCAAGTCACAAACGCTCAAGTTACTGCGCAACACTCCAGGCAACAGTTTGTTTCTCATTGTGTCTCAAAGTGGAAATGGTCAGAAAAAGCTGGTTTATTAGAACAGCTGCTCGTCCTCCCCACTCTCCAGCTGGTGGCAGTGAATGACAACGTGTTCATTTGCCCTGGCTGATCCGCGGCTAAATAAAGACGCTAACTGGGCCATCTCAGATCTGACAAACTTTCGCAGACAACACATGTAAGAAAAGACAAAATGTGCCTCACCCTGTTGGCGTCGACGTGATGTAGCCGGTAGGCGTCTCCCGTGCTCTCGTTGATGAGGTCAAACTGATGTTTATAGGCCACGCAGATCATGTTGTCGTTCTCCCCCGTCGGCCCGTCCACCAGCGCCATCACCACTGGGGGGTCGCACAGACAGATCTCCTGATTGAGGGAGGAGACAGGAACACATCTTAGTCTCAAACACATGGATAGGCTTCATTATTTTATAAGAAAGTTGTCATTATATAACATTTTGGTAAATTTAGAAGGGATTCACCATGTGGATTAAATTCTACTTGGTTAAGAAAAGAAGGGCGTTGTTTAACAACACATTTAAATATGGGGCTGCTTATCTTTTTCTGGTGATGACTGCATAAAATAAAAGCAAAAATATTGCTGTTTTTTTATTTGTATTTTTACAGTATTTAATTACTTGGACTTGACAGATAACCATGCTCTAAGTTGAGGGCTACAACCTGAACCCCATTTGTTATTTGTTGACATTTGTCAAGTTTCAATCATTAAAAGCATGCAAAATTAGCTATTAGCAGCTCCTTCTTGCAATCTATACAAGCATTTCCCATCCCAGGATTATTTGATACCGAAGAAAAGATACATAACATACAAGTTCAAAATATAAAAATAATAATAAACTAGACTACAATAGAACATGATTTGGGCAAATTGGGGCAATATATATTACAAAAATTACCCTAATTGCTGTAAAAAGGGACAGTACATTCTATTATTATATTTATTCACTCAAGAATCCATAAATCTATCCAATTATTGAGTTTTTTTTGGTACCCGTATGTACTGAAACTCCTCCACTGGTGACTCTGCTCCCGGGGCTTCGAAGCGGGGGTGTTTCCTGGTGATGAGGAGGAGTTTGTTCCTGATGGCTGCTACTATCCTCAGCTCGGAGCCGTGGTGCGTGTTGATGGAGTACAGATGACAGCCTGGGAGAGAGAGGCGGAGGAGGGTAAGATAAAAGAGAAGCAGACAGAACATGTGCTGCAGGTGGTGTTCCCTGGCTCCATCCCACAGATCAATGCACCCCCCACTAACATCTGGCCTGACACATGCAGCAGGTCAAACGTTTCCTTTTTGCGCTGGCAAAAGGACGTTCATAAAGGTCGCTGTATCTGCTCCAGGCCCACATGTCTCAGTGCATTAGGAAGGATCTCTCAATGGCAATTCACAATCTCTGAGTGTGAACAGGAGGAATAATTTAAAGCAGCTGAATCAAAGTACATTTTACATTACGGAATGTTTTTGGGATCTCATCAAGGCTGAGCCATTATTCTCTGTGGGCAGTGGACTTAACCATGATCAGTGCTTATTAGGAGGGCACCATTTTGAAAAAATTGCTAAATGCCAATATATTGACTGGTATTGCAAGAAGGATTTCTTCTTCTCTGCAGCACCACAATACCTTATACAGATATATTCATATTTTATAACCTTCTTATTCTATTTAAACTTGTTTTAATTTATATTCCTGTGGCCTTTTAATGAGGGTTTTGAATGTGTTTAAATGTCATTTTATAATGCGTTTGTCGCTTTACATCGTAATTCCCCTATTGTTGTGAACGATCGAATAGCCAAATGTGTATCTATCTATGTATTAGATATACTTTATTGATCCCAATTTGGGAAATGTTTTCCTCACAGCAGCAGCATGTATGCGTGTGTCTCTGTGTGTATGTGTGTGTGAGTATATGTGTGTGAGTATATGTGTGTTTATGTATGTATGTGTGTGTGTTTGTGTGTGTGTGTATGATGTATCTATCTATCTATCTATCTATCTATCTATCTATCTATCTATCTATCTATCTATCTATCTATCTATCTATCTATCTATCTATCTATCTATCTAATGTTTATTATCTTTCACAAGTCTTTTACAGTCTACATTTCTCATGTAAGTTGTAGGGTTTGGGGATGTGCTCACTATGTTTATTTTTAAGTTTTACCCTTAGTTTTCTCCAGTTTGTTCTCTCGGCTGTCACACTTGCTCCTGACGATCTGCTTCTCCTCCAGGCCTTTCTTCAGCGAGCTCAGTCTGTACACATAGAGCCGGGCGTCCTTCCCTGGAAACAAAACAAAAGACACTTCTGTTTTTTTTGCACGAAGGTTACTCCTAATTTGCCGTCTCCTTTTTAAGCATCCTCCCACGGCCAGACAATGGTGTTGTTCTGCAGGAGGATTACTCGTAGGCTTGTGCTCTCTCAGAAGATTTATCAAAGCCCACACACAGTCGTGACAAATGTTTGCGCTGCCGTCACATAATCACCATCAAACCCGAGTCCACCCTGTTTGTCAATATAAGGGTTAGCTAATCATCTGCAGGGTAATTAATTACATGCTCTTCTAGTCGAGGCAAACAGGGGAGGAATCCTAAAGCCGTCTGTTAACACACAAAGACTTTGTGTAGATCAGAAGGGTCCAATTATGTTAGGGTCAGAAATTGGGTCAGAAATTGAAAAAATAAATTAAATAAAATGCACACAGTATTAACAAATGCATTTTAGGGATTTTCCGAAGCAGACAAACATACATATTTATCTTTTTATATAAATGTAAGAAAAAGGAGGAGGGTTGTTGGTTCGATCCCCAGACCCTGCAGTCAACATGTCAATGTGACCCTGGGCAAGATACTTAACCCCCAATGGCTCTCAATGGCCAACTGTGTTAGTGCGAGATTTTGGGAGTGTGTGTGGATGTGAGTCTCCCTGAGCATGTGGCACCTTGTACAGCAGCCTCTGACTCTGAATGAATGCCGTCTTGTATATGTAAAAGTGCTATCATGGGTCATACTGTGTGTGTGTGTGTGTGTGTGTGTGTGTGTGTGTGTGTGTGTGTGTGTGTGTGTGTGTGTGTGTGTGTGTGAGTGATGGTGGTAGTCCTACCTTTATCGGCCCTGGTGATCAGCAGGTCCTGAGGCTCGAGGACGTGCACCTGCTTCACCACCATGGTTTTATCAAACACCTGCACCGGGGGCACGGACTGCGACTCTGAAACACAACGCATACATCACCATTAAAATACAGGTAATATCTGATGATATGTCACAACTTTGGTTAAATATTTTTACAGCATACATAATCTATTTTACTGTACATTATTTAAGTTTACATTCAGTTCAATAATATACTATTTTGAATATACGTTGTATTCTAATTGTGTCTTTTACGCGCCACCTTCACTGTGTATACCTTCATTAGAACGGCTGAATAGAGATCGAGGCTGCTACGTTTTAACCACACACACACATCGAACTGCCCGATTATTCCCCCTATTACTCGTTTTATGAAGGAGATGTGCGGTCACCAGGGCGCATGATGTGTAAATAACCCAATTTGTGTTCTGTGAAACTGAAAAGGATATTACATTGTTTTTGTTACTTTTGTTGCAGTTGTATATATGTCTTAAATGTAATTTAGGTTAACTTCCTGTTTTATTTAGATGCTTTTATTTTGAAGGCGAGTTTACGCTGTTGACAGGAAGTTGTTGTTGCTATGGAAACAATGTGACGGAGAAAAGGAGCGGAGATTAACGGAGAAAGTAAAGGATAAAGTTTATGTTTAAGTGTTAGCACCCCCCGAAGAGGCACAAGCTCTTATGTTGATATTGGAGATTTCAATAAATTCATATCATCAGTCAAGTCTTCGACCATTATTCGGAGGGAAATGCTACATGATGTGTGTGTTTGTGCTCTGCTCAGCTCCGCTCTGTGTGTGTGTTCGGTGTATGTGTGTGTCCGACACCGGCATTTGTTTTCAAATTACCATGAACAGTAATTTACACACATACACACATACACACACGCCCTGGCAACCGGACTTCTTCATAAAACTAATAATATGGCGTAATAAACGGGCAGTTCCCATAAGAAAATGTATCTTGTGCGCACGAGAAAGTATCTCTTGCGAACAAGAAAGTGTATCATGCGCACGAGATACTTTTTTTTTCTTTCCATGAACCTTTAGGGGCTCCGTAAGATCTGATCAAAAGTGACAGTTTTTTTGGAGATCTGAGAAAAAAGTCAGAATTCTCAGAAAAAGTCTGATTTTGTTTCTTTTGGTCAGATCTAAAAATAAAAATGCCACATACAGCCCTAATCCTCTTCCGTAACGTTCAGTATTACAACAAATTGTTGTTGCTCAAAGTTTTTGAGCCGGTGGGACTGAACATTTGCATTGCCAACAACTTTGCTGTATCTATTGTGCAGAGGACAATACAACATTTGAATCCTGAGAGTCTTTTAATCTTGTGGAAAAAGAGAAATCCTCAGAGAATGTTCTACTCACCAGCGTTGGAGGAGGCTGGATCAGGGCCTGAAACATCATCATCATCATCATCATCATCACCATCATCATCATCATCATCATCATCATCATCATCATCATCATCATCATCATCATCATCATCATCATCATCATCATCATCATCATCATCATCATCATCATCATCATCATCATCATCAAGTTATTGTTAGCTTTGGCATTCTCCTTAGTGCAGTATTGAATGGATATGGATTTTAGAGGGCATAGGGAGATATTGATTATGGGATGACCTCACCATCTAGCAGCATGACCCCCGCCGCGTCGGTGGCCGCAAGCAGAGACTGACCCCAGGAGTCTGAACACACGATCTCGTAGGGGAACGTGCTGCAGAACAGCTGGGACTCCCATGGCTGCAGAAAAAACATGCACATATGAACATACTGTACAGACACATGTAGATATACACAAAGATACAAATAGTGTGATAAGGATCTACTTGGTTTGGCAGGATGTTGTTTTGGAAATATTCTTAAAAGAGTCTGTTCTTTTTAGTTTGTTAACAAAAAATACACCTGATCTGTTTTCTTGGTCTTTTGTCTAAATTCTTTACTCTCTAGTTTATATGACTTTAAAACATGTTTTGAAAATATTTCAAATAAGGCATATGTTTAAAGAAAGTATATTACAGCCTTGACTGGCAGGTTAAAAACCACTTCCGGTTGTTCATTTTCTGAGTTTGATTAAAATGATTGGCACTCCTGTTCATGACTAATAAAAACGTATAATAAAAAAAGTTTTGTTAGGGAATTTTTGATTTGTTTTGTTGTTGTAATCAGGGTAGGAATTTCACATGACGGCCATGACGGCCGCTTAGGGCTTTTGTTAAAATAAAGGTTTTTAGATTCAGTAAGAGATTAAACTAGAGAATGCAATTCCTGAAGAAATTGCTAGTGGGAATGCTTTATGCTGAAAGGCTGACGCTAAACTGCTATGCTGAAATGTAATGTGTAAGAAGAAAGTGAATAATTTAGATTGAAATTACACATGAACACTGGGGGCTTGAATGTGTAATGAGAAGAAAATAAAGTAAAAAGGCTTGGAAAAGCAGTAGAATATTTGAACTGCAAACTTTTGAACTAACCTGATGGCGAATGATCTGTCGCCATTGCAACAGTATTTCATGACACCCCATAATACGCTTAGATGTGTTGATGGTTGCATCGTTACCAAACCTGTGAAGTTTTGGGCCGTTTGGAGCATTTTCACTGAAGTTATGAGAAAACCGTGTTTCATGGCGAGCATTGTGTTGCCATGGCAACGACATTTGAAGAAATCTCAAAACTGTCATGTAGATGTCTTCACGGCTGGACTGTTAGCACACATGTGAAGTTTGAGCACTTTTGACCATTTTCATAGGAGTTATAGCAATATCTTGTTTTACGGCGAGGGATGCGTTGCTATGGCAACAGTTTTGAGGAAAACTCACTAATGGCACATAGACATGTTGAGGGCTGGACCATTAACCATCATCTGAAGTTTGGTGCTGTTTTGACCATTTTCATAGGAGTTACGACAACATCGTGTTTCATGGCGAGGGATGCATTTCCATGGAAACGACATATGGTGAGATCTCAGATTTGGTGTAGAGCTGTTGAGGCATGGACCGGTGATATACAAGTGAAGATTGCGGGACGATTAGACCGTGTCCATTGGAGTTACAGCGACATCGTGTTTTATGGCGAGGGATGCGTTGCCATAGTAACACCACATTACGTAACATCAGATTTGATGTAGAGCTGTTCAGGGCCACAGTGTTAACCATCATGTGATGTTTGGTGGCGTTCTGAGCATGTCAGTTGGAGTTATGACATCATCATGTCATATCTCCAACACACAGGTGTTTATAGAGAACCGCAGTGACGCATCCTAAAACCCGGATGTAAACTCCTTCCGGTTCCTTCGACAAACACCAATGCAATTTCTCCATAGGATTTTGGAAAATAGCTGGAAATAAGGTCTGTGGTTGAAACACATTTAAGAGACGGATCACGTTTTGTTCAGCCGGATAATCTCCACATGTCTATCCTACTTTTATAATTTTCGAATCATAAATCTAGTCGCAAGAAGCAAAATGCTAACGTTATGCTATAAAGGAACTACAGCAGGGTCGCTGCTTCAACGTCACGCCAACTTAAGATCCATATTCAAACATACAGATTGTAAATGGTACGAGTTGAAGTGTTTGTTTGAACAGTTTGCTGGAGGCAGGGACTTGCTTTCAAGCAGAACAGGGCAAACAAACTTAGCGGAGTGTTCACGTGTTCGGTGTAATGACGTAAAACGGCCTGGACAACTTCTGTAGTCCTATTCAGCCACTTGTTAACAACCATCGTTTTTCAGACACGTAAACTCTTCAGAAATCACCAGTGGGGTCACTGCTGATGTATTTAATGTCGTAGAACAAAACGTGATCCGTCTCTTCAATTTGTGTCAAACACAGACCTTATTTGGAGCTATTTTCCCAAATCCTATGGAGAAATTGCATTGATTTTTATCGAAGGAACCGGACGTGGTAAAAATGCTAACTTACTTCCGGGTTTTAGGATGCGTCACTGCGGTTCTCTATGTTTGAGGTAACGACGTTATGAAACACCTGTGCTTGAGCCCAGTTATCAAAGGTTTCCATGGTGATGTGCAGTAATCAGTGAGAGGAGAGCCTTTCCATTGTTCTGAATGAGAGATAAACCTCTTACATGTAAACGTTTTGTTGAAGAACCGTAACAGATATCGGTGAAATTTCAACGTGTGAAGCATGTCAAGGACCTTGAGTATCTGAAGTGTGCTTTTTGTGTACTTTCGGGTCAATAATGTGGCCTTTTTGGCAGATTAACTAAAGGTGTGCGGCTGCTGCTGTGAGGAAAGATCAGGTTGAATTTATAATGGGCCTTAATGGAGACATGTTGAAAGTTTTTGTCACTTCATGCCCTCAAGAGGCATTTTGTTTAATTATTTTGCTTAATTATTTTTAAATTTGTCAAGCGAAGAGATGCTTTCCTACGTTTTTCAGGAAAAATGATGTCCAAGGAGTGTAGGGTTTGGGAATTATGGCAGATTAAAACAAATATATGAAGGCGAATTTCAAGCTCTCCTCCACTCTAGCTGTGACATCACGCACTCTAAGCCTCAACGAGCTGCGCAATACACACAAATGTTAAAATCTGAAGAAGGTGTCTTTACCAAGGTCTGAACAATGTTTGATATCTCTAAAAGTATGAATCTGATTGAACAGTTATGTAACACGAATAATGTCAGAAAGATGTGTAACATTTTAAAGTTGGAATGAGGTTTCTGAGTGAAAGAATGAAGGAACAGTTAGCAGTTGAAGTTGCATGAAGATTGTTCAAGTCTGAAGAGTTTCTCCATTGACTTCCATGTTAAAAATGTGATGAATTATGGGATGTATCTCTGGAATTATGAAAGTTATGAATAAGAAAATTAATAGCCATCGATTCCCGATCGAGCTGAACATTTTGATGTTTGAACGGAGTTTCTGCGATGTGGAATGTGGGAGCAGAAGAGGTGCAAAATAACCCGGCGGAATAATAAAGAATTTTGTGCGTAGAAGAACAAGTAGTTGGAATGCTGTGTCAGCATTCCCACTAAACTACGAAGATGTTGTGTCATTTAAGGTAAAAATAGATGTGCTCTCACCTCTTTTCTGCACAGGCCGGTGGTGACAAGGCTGGTCGGTGCATCTCCTCTAACAATGGTCTTCAGCTTCAGTGCCTAAAAAACATAATGCCATCAGATATGAAACAGCTTAAAGTGCTGGAAGAAGAAGACGTTACATAGTGCATATACATGCTTTCCAAGAAGGACAACAGTGGACCGAGCTTTCTGAATTATACATCTTTTATTCGTCACTAATATTAATCTAGCCTGCCATTGATGAGTCCTTGTTTCCTGATTATTTTGGCAGCGAAACTGTGAAAAACACAGAGGTGGAAAGCAGACTGGCCACAGTAAAACATCATAATACACTAAATTAAAGGTGTAATTGCTTTAGATTTCAAATAGAATAATGTTTGCACAAATGCTCTACAATCTGATCAGATTGAGCATGTCCATCCGAGCTGCACAGTCAAGCATCTCTATTTACATATCTGCATAAACAGGCAATCTGGAGATAATGAAATCAATAGCACCCGACAGAACAATGGTCAGGCTGTGCTGTGTACTTTGCCATCCGTGGGAAAATATCCATAAAAATACATATTCTGACCTATCAGGAGTCCATGAAAACATGAAAGCATTGTGTTAAATGTGCATTGAGGGAGTCGGTTTAGTTGTTTAGTTGAGGACAAACGCCTCGTCTCTACAGAACTAGATAATCAATGCCTGGACACGTCTACCTTCCTTTGTTTTCATGCTTTACAGCACACTGTGTCGATGCCTCGGCTTTGTGTTTATGTGCGGTGAGCGACAGGAGCAAGAGAAAAACAGTAACACCAACAAGAACATGGGTTAGCAAATTAAGATAAAAAACAACAAAAACAAGAGGGACAGAAGTACTTTGGACACATAAACACGTGTTTTTAGAAGCTATTAAAGTGGCCCTTTATGCTCATTTTCAGGTTCCTATTTGTATTTTCTGTCTTTAATGTTCAAAAAGCTCTTCTCATACTGCCTGTGCTGCAGCTCCTCTTTTCACCCTCTGTCTGAAACCAGAGCCCAGTCTGCTCTGATTGGTTAGCTGGCCGGCTCTGTTGTGATTGGTCAACCGCTTAGAGATGTCCCGCCCCTTAGCCTATCGTATAATGTGTTGCAGCGCTAACCAATAGAAGCACGAGTGTTACATAGTGATGTCATCATGTTCCGGGGCATTAATATGCACAAAAATCTATATAACCCACTCCATAACAGAAAAAAGAAGCATAACAGGGCTCCTTCTGAAATTGCAAACCCACCTTCTTTTATCGCTGTTACTCAGCTGAACTAATAACATATTCCTTAGAGCTTTTGTATATGGTATGGTGAGGGTATACTGTAGTTCACAACAAATCCTGATAGATTGGTCTAATTTAGTAGTTTTCCTTATCACAACAGGCCACAAATTGCTACCTTATTTATTTTCTCAGCATTTTAATCCTGAAATAAAAATATCTTGTTTTTTGTTTGGTTTGCTTGGGTAAAAAGACCCAATATCAACAACAATGCCTGATTACTAATATATTATGTTTTAGCTTACAACAGACCACTCATTTGCCCCAAGAATATCAATTATTTTATCAACAACCAGAGACTTTTATTTCTATAATGCCGGAGGTCATCTAGGCTCAGCACCAGGGACAGTTCTTAACTCTTTTTTTCCTGTGTTTTCAGACTTAGTTCATGCATAATCATAGTTATATCATCTGTAGGTGCTTAGGAAAAAATTATAATGGTGATTACATCAGCCCCGTAATGAGTACTAGACAGAGTCTCAGAGATCTGTTCCTACAGTATATTATTTCACCCTGACTCTCCTGAGAGCAGGTGTCCAGTTCACTGTGATGTCTGTCTGGAATTACAGCTCTTACATTACATTATGTAGTATAAAGACACAGATATTCCTCACAATTGAGAGAAGCTGGTTTCAAAAGATGTCTGTTGCTTCTGCTACAACTGCAGTTTCTCTTTATTTTTACTTTGGACTCGCTATTCTTAAACTAAGAGTTAAGAAGAGTTTTTTTACACTTTCCTTCTAGACTCTGAAATGCACGTTTTAACAAATCAAGGACTGAGGATTTTGTCCCCCAACTATGAATCTATATTACATTTCAATGGTGGCAAATAACTTTTTTTCCCGCCTGTTAACTCAATTTACGAAAGATGAATATGTTTATTACAAAGTGTATATATAAAATGTTACATGTCACAAGTTAGATAAAAGCTTAATGTAAACATCTGTGTAAACATGTGCATAGTGTTTAAGTTTCCTCACTAGGTGTGTTTGGCCCTGTACACTCTTTGTGAGTTTCTACCTTTTATGTGGGTGTGTATCCTGGATTCCATGTGTGTGTACAAGTGGGTGTTTCTCTAATTGGTTGGTAATACCGCCTTTGTGTGTGTGTGTGTGTGTGTGTGTGTGTGTGTGTGTGTGTGTTTCACTTCCTTACCTGCCCTATTCTGACAAACTCTGCCTGCCGTGCCTCCTCCTTCTTGCGTGCAGACTTCGGAGACTCAGGCAGCACGTCGCTGAAGGACCGCCGGTTTAACATGTTCTGGGGAGAAAAAGGAACCTAAACGTGGAACACCAACACACAAACACAGACACACGCACACATGAAGGGGAAAAAGAAAGCAGAAAGGGGTCTTAGAGACTGACCCTGGCAGGGGGTGAGACAGCAGCAGTGAGAATTAAATTGTGTTAGCAGCAACATGGAAAAAAGGATAGGGAAAAAACAAGAGAATTAAGATAAAAAAGTGACGTGAGGAGAGAGAGCCCTGCTGAGAAAGTCAGCATTGCAGCAGTCCAGTGTGACGCAGTATGCAGAACAAAAGTCAGCAGTGACTGAAGTGACAAGGAGGAGACAACTTGGATAGTAAAAAAAAAGAGAAGGACGTTCATTCAAGAATGAGCAGGACTCAGAGTCACTGGGCAGCGGTACCTTGTGCAGGTCAGGCATGAGGTCTTGGTAGAGCGAGCGGATCAACATGTCCAGTGTCCGCTGGCGCTTCTGGGCAAACGTTGGCGTCTCCAGTGTGGCTTTCTCTCCATTGATTACTGCAGGGGATAAAGAAAGATCACATGAGAACATTAGCATATCAGGGTTATTGAATGGCTGTATTTGTATGCATCTTTCCTCAAATGTCCTTACGTTTGACTAATAAAAAGTCCCTGAATTCTTGGTGATCAGTAAACACAGGTGGAGATGGGAGAGGGGGTCCAAACAGTGGAACGCTCTCCTCTGAGAATATCTTCAACCTGTGACAAATAGCAGATATTTCATATTTCTCTTATACTTATAATGGATGTCAAGCACATCAAACAGTATGCAACATGAACAACTTGTTTGAAAGAGGACATATTGTGCCTTTTGTGCTGCTTTAATGTTCAAAAAGCTCCTTATTTTTCCCATACTGCCTGTGCTGCAGCATCTCTTTTCACCCTCTGTCTGAAACCAGAGCCCAGTCTGCTCTGATTGGTTAGCTGGCCGGCTCTGTTGGGATTGGTCAACCACTTAAAGATGACTTGCCCCTAAGCCTATCACGTACAATGTATTGGAGAGCCAGCCGATAGAAGTGTGAGTGTTACATAGTGATGTCACCATGTTCAGGAAGTAAACAAAGTAGTCCAAAGGTAGGATTTTAGCCTTTGCAGACCATTTACATGCACAACAACCTATGTAACACACTACAGGAAATTGAAAACCCCAAAAGCATAATAGGTCCTCTTCAAAGGGAAAATGTACCACATTTTATGTTGATGTACAATTAGTCTCAACATGTTCTTAATTAACAAAGAAAGCTGACTTATCCTGTACAGACGGGTGTATTGGCAGTGCCTACATGTTCCTGCTGGCTATCCTCTCACTTTTCACATTTCTTCTGCTGTGTACACAGCAGAAGAAATGTGAAAATGTGAGAGGATAGCTCTGTTAAAAACTGCTGTATATTTAAGTCCAAACACAATGTCATAATAACCTTTGAGGGCTACCATTTTTTCTTTTGGAAACATAACTGGTTTGTTATACTTGCAAAGTAAGTTCACTTTGCTAGTATTACAAACCAGAGAGTGGCATCTGGTTCAGGAATGCTGCCTTGGTACGAATAATTGGAGATCAGACATCCAAATTGAAATAGTTTGAAGTTCTTCTTTTGCATCAAACTACTTCACTTTAACTTCAAATGCAGGAAAGATAAAAGGAAGTGCAGCAAATGTTCATGGTGCAAAAGGAGGAATGTATTGTCTCAAAAGACTACCTTCAACACCACTGATTGGACATCCACATACTGTAGAAGGTGGTGAACTCTCTGTTTAATCATTTAATCAAAGGAACAATCAAAAGGTAGAGGCACATTGTGGATTGAACCACCTTAAAGCAGAGTGTTAATCAAAGCACTCACCTGTAACTGTCATTCTGGCTATTATACCTAACTAATGCAAAAATATCTGGACAGGGAGTGAAGGAAACACTGATTATAAAGGAGACACTATGATGTGGTATCTGCTCATAGCTTCTGAGCTGATTACCACTTCATTTGTTCTGAAAATCTCTGTCCATGTGAAGGATACGGGTGAAGTGCGATCGGATCATAGACGGTTTGAAGGACGACGATGCGTCATCCCCTTCCTGGAATACTATGGTAACAATGTCGTTTCCAATGTGTCTCTTTCTCTCCACCTGACAGACGAAAGAGACACAAGGTGAGACAAAAAACGTAACCATGTCGAGCTCTGTGATTCATGTGAGGCAGGAGGACGTCTTTAAACCTGGATTAATTGATTTTATGGTCACTTAGGGGCACAGCAACAAACCGTAAACACAGCATTGATATATAGACACAGTTTAAAGTTGTTACGACACATCCAGCAGACACGGAGAGAAATTAGCATTCGTACTGAGTACTGAATTTAGGTACAAATATTTATTTTATTATATAATATTACATTGTATTTTATTCTATTCTATTATTTGTTTATAATCATTATTATATTAATTCTTTAATTTGTTTTGTTGTTACTATTTCCATTAGCATTATGTGTATGTATTTGTATTAACTGTATTTATTTTAAATGTAAATGATGTCATGTTCATTGATTTATTTTGTATTTTATTATTATTTTAGCGTTGTTGTCATTTTATGTTTTGTTTTCGTGTTTTGTGTGTTTTACGATGCGTAATTCTAATAAAGACAACGTAAAAAAAATAAAAAAAAGTACTATATTCACTCTCAAATGTTATTACCATAAGGTAGAGACCATATTCAATAACCAAATTCATAGAGAAGAACCATTTCTATTTTTAAGAATATAAATCCTGTTGTTTTTAATATTAATGTCTTCTGGAAATCATGCCAGAGTTAACTTTTGTTTACCCTCAGTATCAGTACGGCTTTTTTTTTACAACACACTTCTGGGTGGATAACAACACTACACTTCACGCGTTAAGCTGAACTGACTTTACCTCTCATGTGTGATTCATATTCCTTCCCATGATTCCAGTTGTTGCCCCCCCCCCTCCCCTCACACTCACATGCAGTAGGGCACAGACTGTTCCTTAATATTGACTGCTTTTTTTTTTCTTTTTTACATAAGAAGAAATCCAATTACATGTCAGATCTGCAAAGCAGCCCTTTTGAGTCATACTCACTAATATTGACATAACAGAAAGGAGCTTTACATTGAAGTCCTTTCTTCTTCTTTTCTTCCCACAGTGAGCACATTGTTAGGGTCTTTTTTCTGCTAAATGACAGAGAGATGACTGTGACTGATGTGCAATTAGAATTTCTGCAATTTCTCTAATTGTAGTGAAAAGCAGAAACAGAGGGTAATTCTTTGGCTTTTTTGCGATCTTAAAATAGACAGAAACGGGAGAAACAGACCCGATTTAAATGCAATTGTTTTTTACTCAATTAAATAATTATTCATATTTTACACTGCATTGTAACTTTTTTACCTATTTTCTTTCTACTTTAGCTTATTTTTCCTCTCTTATACTCTCTTTGCTTTTTATTGACTGTTTTTAAATGTTTTTATATGTCATTTTATAATGTGTTTCTGCTGCACTATATCCTAATGTATATCCATTGTTTGTAAAGCACTTGAAATGGCCTTGTGTTGAAAGGTGATATTTAAATAAACTTACCTTGCTATACTTTAATAGTGAAAAACCAAAGCTTTGGACCGATTTTAACCAAAGCTAAATGTTAAATCTTCCCAGTAGTTCAAAACTTTTAATCTCAATCAGATCCGATCAGATTTTGAAATCCCATTTTTTGTGATCCAGGATCAGACAACTCGGACAGATTTTGTCCCTGTATTTCAAAGCAATTCAGGATAGGATCACCCTGATCCAGATTCAGACTTTTCAAGATGACTAGATCCTGAATATCAGTGCTTTAATCCTACCGATCTCCATCTAGTGGATATGAAAAACAATACAAGGAAGACAAGAGACCAGATTAGAGAGACATCTATTGTCCGCAATTACTTTTGAAAGGTGATGACAGATGATGGACTTTTTTTTTGTTGAAGATATTTTTTCTTTAATCTAAATTACATTTGTGATTGACAATCTTTGTTGTGATAATTTTATGAGCATAAACATTTATGTCATCAACATGTGGTTGAAACCAAAATAGGCCACCACAAACGTGATCAAAAAATGAAAAATAAAATTGATTTGCCATGAAGGCTAAAAATTATGTATTATTTCAGTTAACAAACTTTGCCATCTTATTTATATTGAAACATATTTTTAAATAAATTGTAAAGTACATTTTGCTCTGGTAATCCACTGGAAATCCACCCCTCTGGTGGGATCAAGATAATCCAGTTTTTTGGGATCAAACTGATCCCAATCCTGTGTTGTCGGTTTGAACTACCCATTTTGAAGATTTGATCCAGATTAAAGCTTGGATTGGATTTCCTGATCTGATATCAAAGTGATCCTAATCCTGTTTTTTTTAATTAACCAAAATCCAAATCTGATCCGATCAGATAGGGCAGTGATTCTCAAACTTTTTTCAATAATGTACACCCTTAGACATTTTTTTTCAGCCAAGTACCCCCTGATCAGTGCAAAAACTATTTGTTAGGGAAGAAATGCCAATATAAAGAGGTACAGTACAGCGCTGCACCATCGGTGTCTGATTTATTAAAACAACAACCTTGTAACTGAGAAACACTTAAATGCTACATTTCAAATGTTTACAATCCATCACTAAATTCATGGAAAACCAATTTTAACATCATGCAATAACACTAAGACGACATTAGTTGCATTGAACTGATCTTTTTAATAAGTTGTACTTACAATGTAGTGAAACATGGGCTTGTGCTTCACTGAGGATCTTTGTTATTCTCAGTGACAGGAAGGCCACTGCAGTTATTACACTTCGCGTTTTGAAATATGTGCAACTCTGTTAATATAAAACCCACACTGCTCAAACTTCGTTACTTTTCCTAAAATTGTTTTTTTTGTTGTTGTTGTCATTAACATAAAATAAATCTCACGTACCCCCTGGAGTACTCCAACGTACCCCTAGGGGTCCGCGTACCCCCATTTGAGAACCACTGAGATAGGGATTACAAGTTTTGAACCACTGGGCCCTGGGGACCATGAAAATGTTCAATCATTGTGCAGCTAGAGAATTGCCAAGTTTTGTAGGATCTATCCTCTGGGTACCCTGAATCTTTTAAACAAATTCATGTAAATTCATGTAAATTCATGTAAATCCAGATCCACATTTTACTGTGGCTGAAGATAAGAACTATCTAACAGATAATAATGCAGAAACCCACCTGCTGCTTGTTCTCTTTAGAGTAGGGTAACATGGTGGAGACGTGGAACATGAGCTCATGGCCCTGATACACCGTGTAGATGGAGTTCATTCCTGTAGTGTCATCTGTAGGAGAAAACGGACCGAAACAGAAGCAGACAATGAGAGATTGGCATATTGAAAAAGCATTGTACTTTTTAATCATGTAGTTATTCAGAGGTCTCTTACTCTTGGTGTCCAGCCCCCCCCTGTATCCGGCCCACCCCTGCAGCGTGATGGAGTCACCGAGCAGATTGAGAAACTTGTCAAAACTCTCACTCCCCATCTCTGAAAGAAACACAGGACTTTTAACTTTGCAGGTATCATTTTGATGTATTTAATACAGGGTTGGGTTGACATTTTGGGAAATACACTTAATTGCTTTCTTGCTGGGGGGTTAGATAAGATGTTTGATATCACGCTCATCAACAGAATCCGAAAGCAATACAATCCACATGGCCACACCTCTAACGCTCTAAGTTATATCTTGTTTTCTATACATGTACAAAAAGCATGTGAAACCTATAAGTAACAGGGTTTATGATCTGATTCTGAACTATGTATTAGCCTTGTGCATCTTAATAAGATACAGCATGAAGGAGAGATATAGAAGTTCTTGTTGGTGGATTTTGATATTTGGCGAAAAGCGAGGCAACGTGACGTCACCCCATTCAAAGTGAATGGGCAGACGCGTTGGAAACCGTTTTTGAAGCTGTCGAAGCTGTAGTGTGGACGGGCCGTTTGGCTTTCCCGATCTTTCCAGTCTTAATTCTAAACTAACCTAAGCTGCTGCCTCCAACAATCGATATTAAGATGTTATTGATCTTCTTATCTAACTTTTAGCAATAAATCACATTTCCCAAAATGAAAACATCCCTTAAAAAGTGTTTGGACACTGAAATAAAAAAAGTATAAAGGATTTACCGTTGCTGAACATCTCGTCATCTGTGAGCTGGCCGTCTTTGGCAAACAGGACTCCAAATTTAAAGTTGACAGAACCCTACAAAATTATAGCTGGGTTAGAATTATGAAACTATTTACAATTGATATCATTATTTATTTATCATACTATGCTCCTATGCAAGTAAATATGGTGCAAAAGATACACACAAGGTTTTTAGAAGTGCTTATTATCAGTGTTGAATGTAAAAATAACAACTTGGGTATTTAAAGAAGATGGAACAGTATTGAAAGCATGCATTTACTGTGCATACTAGTAACTACACATAAAAAGGAATTAAACTTGGAGATAAATATAATTATCTTAGACTAGTATCAATATCAAAGACAATATCAAAGTGTTTGTATCAACAGTATGTCAAGGACTTTTACCAGAAAAAGCATCAATACAGAATCAAATGGAAAATAATCAAAAATACCTCCTGTTCCTCCAACACCAGCAGATCCTGAGGAAAGAGGACACAATAATTATAATAAACAGTGACCAGCCCGTCAGCCTGAGGATGGTGTGAAGTGTACATGCTGCTGATCAGGCCTGGCATGAAATGGACCCGTGCTTCATTTAATTTGCTCTGAGTCTCACCTTCTGAATCTCGGCATTGAGGATCTCCCTCGGGCCTTTCTCAAACCTGTCCATGTTCATTGCACTGGGATAAAGGGAAGAGGAGGAAGTAGTAATGGATAAAAAGAGAAAGAAAGGGAGTGCTTAGGATTGATGGAAGACAAATAGCCTTAAGGGTTGCACAGAGAAATGAGAGACCTGATACAGGGGATTTCTCTTCCTGCTTGTCCTCATTCATCCTCACTTAGAGGAGTGATGGCGCTCAGCCGGAGGAATTTATAATCTCCAATCTTGTGCTTCATGCATCTTATTATATCCTGTTACCTGTCACTCAGGACATCTGATACTGAACACAACATATGAGTCTCCAGATTGAGTCGGTTTTCGAGCGATCGTGCTATTATTTAACGATTGTGCTTGTAAAACAAACATTATTTGGTTATAGCTTCTCAAAAGTGAGGGTTTGCTGCTGTTTTATTATACATTATATAACTAACTAGAACCTAAATATATTTGAATATATCTCCTTGGGCTCTGGAAAACTATTATCATTTCCCCAAATGTTCAAACACATTTGCATCATAATGAAGATAATTGTTAACAGCAGCATTACATTGATGGCCAACCAAATCAAGAGACATTTAAATCCTTAAAACTCTCCCTCTTATTTTTCTTTTCTTTTCACCTTAAATTGTTTTAAAAAAATGGTTTCTTTATTTTTTTATATGTACTTTATGTCCATTTCACATATTTAAAATCAATGGCATTTGGTGTTGCCTTTGAAATTTGCATTATTTACAAATTATCTTTGTGTACGCACGATAGGGGAAAAAGTAGACATTAAAGACCCTCATCACAAAAGACCAAACGTTTTCTTCTGATTGAAATGATAAATTCTTCATGAGGAGGAAAGAAAAACATGAAACTAATCAAATAACTGAAATGATTATGGGTATGTCCTACCATTGTGAGACCAAGCTGCATATCTTATTCTAACTAAATGTTATCATACCCCAATAGAGACTTTCAAAAATGATATTTTCTTAATATAGATTTAGTGATAATTTGTGGCAAATACAGTATGAATGCACCAAACCACAGTAAACACTGTGTCATGTAGATCACATAGACTATCTATTATATTTGTGGGGCTTTGACATACAAAACGGTGCTCCTTAACGGCTACTGGGCAAATGAGAGGCTCTGCTTCAGTCTTTATGTCTCAGCCCAGCTTTAGATAACCAACCATATCCCCTCTCATTCAGTACATGTGTTGACCAGAGTGAATGAAATGTGTGTGTTGAGCTGCAGGCTGCACACTCACCTTAGGATGGACTTGACGGATAGTGTTTTGGTGGGGCTGTAGGGGAGGCTGATCTTCAGAGTGCCCTGAGCCAACAACAACACAGATCAGGGATTACAACCTGTTGCTCATTTATCAAAGAACATCCTCAAAACTCAGTATTAAACTAAAGAAAGTCCCAGTATATTTTCTTCTATCAGTCATAAAAAAAAATCACAAGGTTAAATCGGAGCAATTCAAATCAAACTAGATTGTTCTGTTCAATAACAACAACATCCTGCAGCAGTGTGACAGGAACAAGACAAATCAATGTGATCAGGCGGTGGAGGTGCACCAGCCTAATCAGTTTACAGATGAGGCTAAATTAAATCCCAGCTATCTTGGTCATAAAGCTGAGTCACTACAATAACTTTATAATAACAACTTTATGTATACAAACACACAATAATAAACATGCATCTCATACACATGCACACAGACTCAAAAATAGAGTAATGAGGCAAAGGTAGAAAGTAACTACATTAATTAATGAGGTCCTTGTAGTTAATTTGAGTATTTCCATTTCATGCTACTTTATGCCTCTACTCAACTTATATTTGGAGGTAAAGTTTGTATTTTTTATTCTACAATATTGAACTTAGTGATTTACCATAAAAAACTCCATAGGTAGTGTCGTAACGATATACATTTTAGGGTCAAATAGGTACACTTTTCAAATATGAAATCATTAAAACAAGAGAAAAAACCCTTAAATAATATCACTATTTAGCAAAACTTGTTTTTGCAGGGGAACTGACTCCAATAGTAAAGTGCTATGTAGACCTTTATGATCTACTTGCTTCTCCCTTTGGATACTTGAAGTGGCGCGCCTCTGTTTACCAAGCAAGGTCCGTACAGACCACAGCCGCCAACATGTATGACTCTGACTTCAGTGCTATGTTTACGTGTATAAAGGACCTGAGAACTTGTTCCACCATTACTGTGCAGATGTTAATCTCACCGTCTTCCTCCAGAGGATGGCTCGGTACTGAGGGACCCGCTGGTTGTTCTGATCCGAGAGAACGACCGACAGGTAGAAGGGATTCTTCTCTGCGTCTGTACCCACATAGTTCTGGTGGACTGAGGGAGACAGAGAAAATGTACACAGTTATACACACACCCACTTTAAAGAGGCCCTATTATGCTGTTATGGTTTACCACATCCTGTAGTGTGTTATATAGGATTGTGTGCATGTAAATGGTCTGCAAAGGCTGAAATCCCTGTGTTCCCTCCAGAGGGAGTTTCTCTCGTTTACCTCCGTTACATAGTGACATCACTATGTAAGACTTGCGCTTCTATTGGCTAGCCCTCAAACGCATTGTACGTGATAGACAGCTAACTAATCAGAGTAGACTGGGCTCTGGTTTCAGACAGAGGGTGAAAAGAGGTGCTGCAGCGAGAACAATAAAGAGCTTTTTGAATGTTAAAGCATGGAAACATGTCGCAGAAGAAAGGAACATTTCAGATTTCCTCTAACAACAAAGTGTTATCGTATCGTACAAAGTGATCAGAGAACTGATTATTTAGTTGTACTTATTAAGGTAGAAGGCCACCGAAATTCCTTCAAATCTCAGTGTTTCCCTGCTTTTTTTGTCTTCTGTCCTTCCTATTCTTTCATCATTTCTGCCTTCCTTTCATTCATCACCAGTTTTCTCTGTGTGTGGTCGCAGACAAAGATCTCAGCAGCAGACTCACACATTCATGCCTCCTCTTCTTCGGTTGACAGGGCAACATCTTGGGAAACAATGCTGAACAGACCTCCAACCCAATTAGATGCAGGATATCTCTCTGCATTGCCGTCCCTTCCTTTGTCCTCCCTCTGGTGCTTTCTCTCCCTCTAATGTTTTCTTTATCCCACATTTTCTTTCTCTATTCGGCTTTTAGCTCTCTTTATTCTCCATTCACAATGTTTTCATGCTTCAGGTGAGCGATGACTTTGCATGGTCGGCTTGCAATTATACAGGTATTAGTTTAGACAGCTTGAGCTTTTATTTATTTGGGAAGAAAAGCAAATTGTAATCAGAGTTGTCTTCGTACCTTACGCAAGACAATGAGGAAACAACGTTTGTTCTTCTTCACCTAATCATCAAGACATGGAGAATTCGAGCCTTTGTTTTGGATGCTTCATTACACAGGAAGTGCCAGTGTTAGAATAATTGGCCCTGGCCTGGTAATGTGTTGTACGATGCAGTCGGCTCTGCTCCGGCTGTGAGACGCAGATGGCTCAGCTGTAGTCCAAACAGGTTTGCAGCCAACTTTCTGGAGACATGGCGACATTTTAAACTGCCCATGCCATACCGTGATTACACCCTGGCTGGAGGAGAAATGTTCTAACTTTTTTTCACAATCACTTCCATCCATCCGTCCTTTATCTCATCCTTTTAGAGCTGAATATGATTCGAGTCATGGTAAAGAAACCCCGGACAATGATCTTTTGTTGCACAACTTTCTGTGCCGCCCACACTGTGAGCGAGGCGCAGTGATAATGAGGACGGAGAGATGATGAGGGTCGCAAAGGTGAAAGGAGCACTTCTAAATATATATATTTTAACAATCACAGTGAATGGCTCCTGCCTGCCTGTTGCAGAGCGCCAGGCTCATTTCAGGAGCCAACAGTCCGATCTTAATTGCGTTATCTGTTGGAGGCAATTCTTTCTGCCGTGTGTGTGTCCTCTAGGGCTTCCTCCCCGGGCGCAGTATGGGATTAGAGTGTGTTTGAGACTCCCTGTGGGGATATTGCTGGATGCTAACAAGTTTTGGCCCTGAATGAAGAGTGGTGCAGAGTAAGGACGTGACTGACTTCATAAGATAAGAAGTGTCCTGTGGACCAGGGAAGAGATTCAGACCATGTTTTATTTCTGTGGCTCTCCTTTATCATTAACCCATGGTTTCTTGAGCTGTAGTTCACCGAAATAAATCTTCATCAAATCAAATGATGCACGTTACCGTGGATTAACCAAACCGGTGCACTGGTAACTTGAATTATGATATACAAATACAAATATGCAGCAAAATCTTTTTGAGCAGATTGTTTTATACTGAAAGCTACATACACAGCCCACACCAGCCCATTCATGCATTTTCCAAAAATAGAAGTCACCACCGAAAACGTGATTGGATGTGTTTTACAGTAATATGATAAAATGATTTGGCTATTAAAAAGACCAGTCTTTTTGAACTCTTGTGTTTAGCTGCCTGCATCTAAACAACCGATTATGAGAGCCAGTCTCCACCACCCAATTTGCTAAAAACTGCTTCGTCAACCACCATATGCCAACTTTTACATGATAGTAGCACTATTCTGAGGCCTTTGAAAATACTGTGTGTGTTTACACAAATTCCCCCCCAGACCCACACAAATATTGGCCTAGAAACACTTTTCTACTTCAAAGTACCACCAGCGATTGTCCAAATTTGGTCAGACTATAGCACAACGACAAACAAGTCGACCAGAAGGAATCAGCCTTATGTAGCCCTCTGTGTAACACTTACTGTGTGTGTGGGTTGGTGTGTGTGTTTTTTTTAACAGATCACCACAGAGCAGCACTGACCTTTTCCCAGGAAGTATTTAAAGAACCATCTGGTGTGGTACTCTGGATTCTCCAGATGGACATCGGTTCTCCTCCAGGTTCCTGGTGTGTAGTCCAAAGCCTGTTTTTAACACACACAAACCACACACACCACACCCACACACACACACACCACACAGACCCACACATACACACGGCACACACACACAAAACACATTGTCATCATGATGGTCACACACAGCTTGAGTCACAGCGGTCTTCTCTGAAAAACTGTTACACAATGCAGCAGTAACGATTAAAACTCTCAGGTCAGGAAATCAGACGCAGCCTGACCACAGTGAGCCACAGACTGTGTGGTTTCTGTTTCTATTCTGTCATGATGGAACTAATCCATACCGAGATGTGAGACAAAAGCTAGGGAGTGAATCACATGAGGACAGGTCACCAAAATAGACATACACTGCTGTGAAACTGACATGACTGTGTGTGATAAATAGGAGCCAGTAGGGGTTGCAAACAGCTAGCATGGCTCTTTTCAAATGATAAGAAATCTGTTTCCCAGCTTCTTTGTTCTCCAATTCTTACTTTGTTTTGAGAATAAAAGCATCATCAAATATCTTCCCATCAAACAAACAATGCATTTTTTGGTACAATTTAAATAAATGTTTTAATGAGTAAGCTTTAAAGTTGCCAACAGTGTTGGAGGTTGTGTGGGAACATGGAGGCTGACCACTCGCACATTTTCTGGAACTGTACAAAGATAAGGTCATATTGGGAGAAGGTTAATGCAGTTGTCAAAATTATTATGGGATATGGAATCCCAAATACCTGCCCGGTGATGTATCTTGGGAACATTAAGGATGTTGTGATGGGAGGTGATCTATATTTGACTAAGGTTTTACTTGCAGCGAGTAAGAAAGCTATAACTAGGAATTGGCTTAATGTGAACGCTCCGAATCAGGAGCAGTGGCTGGAAATTGTTCGAGATCTTTTTATCATGGAAAAGTTGACATATGTTTTGAGAATCCAAGAGAATGCATTCAATAGGAAATGGGAAAAGTGGAATATTTACATGGTTGACACCAATGGGTAAGTGAATGACTAATTCATTCCTGTACAGCCGTGACCATCAACTGGTGGCCCGCCAGACATTCTGATCCGGCCCGCACAGTGGGGGTGACTGTGGCGTTGGCGGAGTGGTCAGTGCGTCCGCCCTCCACTCATGTCACCTCGAGTTACACAGGTTTGAGCCCCACGCTCATCAAAAAACGTAGTTGTGTCCTTGATCAAGACACTACATTCCCAAAGGTGCTGTATAGGTGATATATATATATAAAAAGATGATGATTACTTTTAGAAAAATATGAGGAGAAGTTTATGGTTCGTTCTTTGGTTTTTCCATTTCAAACCCAAATAGGAAAAACCGACCTTATTCTGTTTTTCAACCAAAACGGGTTAACAAGAAAGTTACCGGTTCGCCAAGTCGGAAGTGGAGCACACAGCAGACAACCGTTTCATTGCAGACTTTTATGTTTATGTGGGGAAATGGCAGCGCATACATTATTTCAGATATGCGTACCTGGCAAACAATTTTCTTATATCCTGCAACCGTTTCCCACCAATCAGGACACGGTATTAATAAAAAAGTTGATTCCTTTTCCTGCCAATCAGGACTGCTTTCAGTTTTATTACCCCGGATACAGGCTTATAAAAAAAAAATCAATCAATCAATCAATTATATATACAGTATATTAATATATATATATATATATATAAATCTCTGGCCCCGAAAGTGTCTCTTGGATTAATTTTGGCCCTTGGACAAATGTAGTTGGTGACACCTGTACAGTATGTGTGAATATTGAAGGACTTTAGACAACTAGTAATTATTGTGCTTTATTTTATAACTGATTTGTGTGTATTACTTTTTGTTCTTTAGGTTCACATGTTGTTCTGTTGTTCTGTTATTATTGTTGTGAAAACTCAATAAAAACACAAGCGTACAGAGTTGCTGTATACACATTTATGAAAGAGCCAGGCCATTTTTCCCAGTTGCCACTTTATGCTAAACTAAGCTAATCCTTACTATAGGTTCACATTTAGCATGACGACATAGGATTATATCTTCTCATCTAACTTTCAGCAAAAAAGCATATTTTGTACCTTTCAAACTATTGCTTTAAGTCACCGTTAATAAAATAAATATAAAATATAATAATGTGTCTTCATCTATAAATGTTTTACCATCCCAGCTTTTTGATATACCTCACATACACATACACATTGTAATTTCTTATTTCTATCGTTAAATTGTTGTAAATACTTCATTTTGTGTATATTGTATAATACCTACAAAAAGTTAATATTAATAATTATAATAATAAATGCATAATGATAATAACAATAAATAAAAATCAATAATATGTAACTATTATAGTTCTATATTTGCTCTTTTCTCACACCTTTATTACTCTTATTCTGTCTATGTATGCACGCGTTTCAGGACAACGCAAGGCAACTCTATGGCATCGAAAATGATCATAATCCGAGATCTTTTTTCTATTTACTGTGGTATGGGTAAGTGGATGGATTGGATGCACATGTGCACAAAAGTGTTAATAGACAATTTTGTTTGGACCTCATCTGAAGAGCCGTTCTCCACCCTGAAGCGTCCTGCCCTCTGGATGGCCCCATCTGCGTCACTGGAGATTAGCTGGGAGACAGACAGACATGTTTAAAATTAGGCATATGACAAACCATGACTTTTGGCAGACAGTATTAAGCAGGTCGTAAATACATTAGAGGCGGCTATCATCGCGGAGGAAAAGAGGAACCATGGCTGCGTGTCACCATGTGAACACAACAGCACGAGGTACAACACATCTGTCCTCAGCAGCCCTTCACCTGTACATAATCTCTTCTTTTATCATCAATAATTACTTTGCAATGATTGAATGAATAACCTGCTTTTTATGCTGTATTTTATTCTTTTTTTCTTGCATCTGCCACCCTCTACTTATTGCTCCAATTATCCGTGTTTTGCTGACTCACCTCTCTCAGACACAGCGTTGGAGAGGAGAGAGTATGAGAGAGAGAGGGGACACTTAATGATGGTGAGAACAGAACGAACCCTCTGTGAGCACGTACAACTCCAATAAATGGTTCCAATTGTTAGGTGCTAGTGATGCTTCTTTTGCAGGGTGTTCCATTTTGGTGAAGTCCAGCCCCTTTTTGTAGCCTCAGCAATAAGTATGTTACCTGATTAAGTATTTAAGTAGTGGTTGCAGAAGAGTCTAAACGTCATCATTTGAATCATGCAATAAGCATTGGCTGGTTGGTTTGTTGTGTAGAAATGTTTTATATTTGGCTGTTACATGGGTATTATATGTCTAGGCTATTTCTACTTTCTTTTAGGGCTTTCAAATAAAACTTTGAATGTCTCTTGTCATCATTTATTAAGGTCATCGTCTGAAAAATTTAAATGATTTCATCACACTAAATCCAATTCATATTTTGTCTTTAAAGCAACTTTCTTTGATAAATCTAACTTTTGAGTTTATCAGATTATTTGGTTTGATAAATAAAGCATTATACATTTTGAATATGAATGCACAGTCTATCTTTTTTCAATATATTTTGATTTTGGACTTATTGCAGTTATTTGAAATGTTTGGATAACACAAGTCATGACATTAATTGAAGTCCACAATTAATATAATACTAATACAATTATTGTAGTCTTATTTTTATGTGCAGCAAACAAACCGTTTTAAAACAGAATTAATAGACATTTAAAAAAAGAAAATGGCACAACATTATGGATTTAAAATCAAAATGTCTGAATCAAGCTTTTGACACATGTGTTTAATCCTCACTGACTGATGTTTGACCTCTCTGTCACAGTAAGATAAAACCTGTGTATGTAAACACAGTTAATAACGTTCCATTTGATACTGACGTCTCAACACTTGTAATGAATGATTGGCCACCTTCTTCAAAACCCCTTCAATCTATTCCTTTTCACGTCCCCTCTTTTCCATTTTATCGATCCCAACACCATGACACTGAAGGATGTTTTTGTTGCTAGGCAACGGACTGTAGAGTCTCTCCTTCCTTGTTGCAGTTTCCCCTCCCTCCTCTCCTCTCCTCTCCTCTTCTCTCTGCGTCTTTCCCCTTTGCTCTTTGACCAGCATGCTATATTTCTGCTCCCGTCGCCCAAGAGAGGTCTCTGCTCTGCCGACATGTGACATAAAATAAATAAAAAAAGTTGGCTGGACATTGAAACGTCCAGATGGCCTGAACTGGTCTAGAAGAGCCCAGCAAGACGAGGATGTGAAGGAAGTTCCTCTGAGAAAAAGGACTGGACATGGAAAGCTAAAATGCACCTCTTAGTTTAACTGACCTCTCGGAACCATAAAGAATATTTTACGCATGCAGATTGTGTCTATATTAATAGTTTACTGCATAAAATGGCAAAACAATGAGAAAAGATATCAATCAGAAACTAAGAAGCATGGGTCATGTCCTTAGATGTCTACTTTTAGTTAAAAAACAGCTTTAAAAACTAAAGGATAATCAATTTATTCTGACATAAACAGAGAAAGTATGACATCTTTATATCGTTTTTTCTTAGTATTAAAAGACTTATCGGTGCAGCTCTAAGCAAAACATGTGGACAAAGAGAACACAAGCTTTTCATTTTCTCTGTCTCACAGTCACATGACAGAAAATACATCTAGATACTTTCTTTGGGTTTTACCTTTCCTGTCCATGTGTTCTAAAGGTCTTTGTGTCTGCAAAGGTTAAAATCCCCAAGTTCCCTCCAGAGCGAGTTTCTCTCCCACACACTCCCCCATTCATTTGTTTAATTCCAGAACATTGTTACATCACTATGTTACACTTGTGCTTTTATTGGCTAGCGCTCCAACACATTGTGATAGGAATTGAAAAATGGCACAGTAGAGGCATAAAATATAAAACAATATTGTGGGAGAAATTGAATTGTCGCTCATTTTATTTATTGCCATGCTGAGATGGAGCAGCTACATACAGCACCACCTGTGATCATTAAGTGTTGAAGTAACTCAGTCGGCACAGAAATAAGTGGCATCACTGGTTCAAAGGCATGCTGCAGGCATAGGATCAAAAACATGGATATCCTTATGATCATGCACACAGGGAAATGAAAACCCAGGTTTATCTTTTTCCATGTAAACGTCATATGATCAAAAGCAGCACTCTCAGATAAAACGTCTGACATCGTTAAAGTGTTCCTGCTCTAAGGGTCTACGCACATTGACTAACAGATATCTAAAACCAGATTGTGAATGGCGAAACACAACCAAACTAAGCCGTGTTTATCAGTTTGGAGAGTGGGCGTAGTGCCCCACTTCAGCGGCTCATTAGATGTCAGACAAAACAATAACGAGAGAAAGTGATGAGAGAGCACTTATCCTAGAGAGGGGGGGGGGTTAAAGTCCATTCATAACATTCCTGTGGGCAAGTGAGGAGGAAAGACAAGAGCTGTACAGTCTGAATAAAGTCATTAATAACTGTCACGCTGACTTTATTGTTCATGCTAAATTAAATCTGATATTCAATTCAATTCAAAACCTTTATTTATCCAGGTAAATCCCATTGAGATCAATGATCTCTTTTTCAAGGGAGACCTGCAGCAGTAGGTTCCACAAGAAGACATAAACAACAGAACAACAAAAGGACATCATACAGCAAAATGTACAGGGATTACAATTTACATATTTAACCACAAGTACAGGTACCAATAGCATCTGATTTTGTAGCATCCAACCGAGCTTTAAAAACATGTAGTGGTACTAGCTTGGTAATTTTCATATGCAGTACTGTAGCTATTAGATAGCTCCTAAATGAGATTTTTTAAACTTTAACTTGGCTCTGAATATGCTGTACAAACTATGTCACGTAAATAAACAGTTTAATTTTAACGTTACAGTTTGGATCACATAAAAAGACACTTTTAAATAGGAGTAGTTTTCATATCTTTCTAAATTGTATATTTTACGCATATTTTTCAACAATTATTAATTGAGTATGTGGGAGAGAAACACAGGGATTTTAGCCTTTGCAGTTCTTACATGCACACAAGAACACACTTCAGTAAAGGAACAAACTAGAAAGCATAATATGGCCTCTTTGATGAACTGCCTCATCGTGTGCATCGTACATGTTTTTCAATCAAATGTTCTTTATGATAAAAAATTGTTTATTACTTATTTTACAAGTCATTTTTGTGTAATTCCAATCAAAAAAAAGGAGCGAAAGGGTGTTAGATTAATTTTGCAATTCAGTGATAAGTAAAAAACGAACTGATATCTTGAAAACATTCCCATTAATATGACATTAAAGTATCGCAGTGGCTGCACTTCTTCCCCATGGTACACTTTATATACTGAGGTAATACATCCAGCGCAGCATGTTTACTGCAGCTGTGAGGCTCTGATAAACGACAGAGAGCTTTCTGTGCAATAATTGGCTCCGTGTGAGAGGAGAGGCTGCAGGAAATACTGCCTGCTCTTCTTTCATATGCATATTACTGCCTGAAAACAAATATATATTGTGCATACTTCCTGGTGTGGTTGCAGTGTTTATGCTAAGTTATGTGCATGGAGAAAGAAGGTAAATGTGGAAGCTATAGGTCTCTTTCTTCCTCTCGCCTCCCGCAACATTAACTGTCAAATCGCAGGATAATGGAGAGGAATATAATGCTGGGTTCAGACACAGTAATGCACCACCTTCAAAGTGTATCTGTGTGAAAAAAGAGAGGAATACATGTGTGACATTCTGTATTCAATGCGTGTTTACGTAAGTGGCTGCGCTGCTATGTGTGAATATGCTTTCTTGGGTGAAAGATTGAAAAATAGCTGGAGAACGAAGCCATTAAGTGCTCTGGAGAGTCTCACACACACACACACACACACACACACACACACACACACACACACACACACACACACACACACACACACACACACACACACCACACACACACACACACACACACACACACACCACACACACACACACACACACACACACACACACACACACACACCACACACACACACACACACACACACACACACACACACACACACACACACACACACACACACACACACACACACACACACACACACACACACACACACACACACACACACACACACACACAGCTTTTAAATCATGCAACAGAAGAGTGGCAAACAAGGAAAAGCTGCACTCCAACGGTCCCCCAGTGAGCCGGGGAGGAAACGGAGGAGAAGGGGCAACACGTTATGCTTCTACACTTTAACAAACAACCAATAAAACACATCACTTCTACCGGGGAGCAATTGAAGAGGGATAGGGGCAGAGGGAGAGGAGCGAAAAGGGGGAATCAAACGTAAAAAGAGGGAGACAGCATGAAGGATGAGGTTGCTGAGGAAGAGAGCAATGTGTAATGACAACAAAAAGCCGAATGATAGACGAATAATGGCCGTCTCCACCGGGCGTAACCCCATGGGAAAGGGACAAGGCTTTGGAGCTTTATAGACGGAGAGGAGATGCACACACACTCTCTTATACACACACTTAAACAGCTCCCATATTAGGGCATCACTTGAACATTTCACAAACAGAATCGAGCTCACGGCGTACTCAGAGTCTCTGATTTCCCCAAGGCCTGCGGGACAAAGG